GTTGTCTGTCTCATTACACTTCACGGCGAAAACAATGATTCTGTTGAATGCTACGACAAATGAATAAAAACAAAATGCAAATATTAAAATTAAAACAGATTAAAGTTATAGAAACAATATCAGGCCATTACCTTGTTCGAGGAATGTATCCATCAATATCCACAAAACTGTTCCAAATGATGTGTCTTTTAACAGTTTAATATACGAAAAAGTGATCAATCTTTTCAGGGATTGGTGTATAGTCTCAGTGGTCACCCAAGATAGCACACCTGGCAACTAATTGCATAATGTCCGCCTTACTTTAAAAACAGTTATTTAGTTAGCCAATAATGGGCAATCAATCAATGTATTGCCGGTTAATCCTTTGAAAGAAGGACGTTGTTTTTACGCAGACACCGACACGACAGAGTGTATTCAGTATAGATTAGTAAATCTACATACATAAACACTACCTTTTGACAATTCCGCTGTGTAAGATAAAAGTAATTAATCAATCAGCGTATTATCGGTTAATCCTTTGATCGATGTTTATAATGTTGAATATTTACTCCAGACAGAAGAAATGCCAAATGGGAACCTTTGTCGGGTAATCTAAGTGTGTTACCACTAATTATACCTGTTATAAATTCATTAACTGACCATCAAGTGAATGATGACAAATAACATGTGTAGGTTTATACCACCTAACACGGGTTACAACAAGGGAGTATTAATTGCTGTATTGCATGTGAAAACTTATAGGCCGACACTGTTTTGAGAATACAAACAGATTTTTACATGACATGATTAAATATCGGTAAAAACACAGAAATGGGATCAATTTGGATCAGTCATTATACAAATAGGGCCTAACGACACCAATCGATTTTGACAGAATCGTCTATGAAAACAAGTTGTAACTCGGAAACTAGGCAAAGCAGTGGACAAAATTAAATGACAGTAGGTTGTGAGAACATATAGCTTTCATTTTCCACAACAATTGTCACGATTTCAGGTTTATACAAGCCTGTAAACAAGATAATTTAACCCCTAAAATGTAGATGAATTCTGCATCGGCCCTCAAAGCTATTCCTCATATGATGTCACAGAGGCGCGCCGCTCTGATTGGTTGAAATTTCGTTCGCGGGTGAGAATAGTGCACTGTTGTCAAAAAGGTCGATTTAAGTCACTTAAAGGTCGAAATGAGTAGTTTTAATGGCGGGGTTTCATTTATAACGATGCCAGTTAGTGATTTATGTATTTGTACCCCCTAGGGTTTATGTGACCTTTAAGTAGGAAGAGAATGATATTGTTTTCCCCCTCACTTTCATTAAAAATGTTTCTAAGAACAAAGTGTCACTTATATTAAGTTGTAGTTTAGAATCTTCAATATCACCTAGTTCATCCTCAGTGCAGTTACAATATTCTAATTTTGTTTCAAAAAGCATATCCTTGACTATGTTTACATATTCTTGGTTATAAAGTAATGATGTGTTTAGTTTCAGTATCCTCCACCTCGATTTCCTTATTAAGTTGATTAGAAAAGACATGGTAATTGCTGAATGATCAGATTTATATCCTGGAAGTATTAAACAGTCAGTTGTCATGTTTGCTAAATCTTGAGAAACTAAAAAGAAATCAAGTCTGGACTGTTGTTTAGGGGTTTTTCCACCATGTGTATTTCTTTACATCATAATTTCTCTCCTCCAAATGTCTGTCAAATCATACTTTTCTATATTATCTAGCACTACTTTTCTTGCTTTTGGATTATTGATATTTTTATAATTTTCTAAGTCTATGGAAGGATTAAGAACTAAGTTCCAGTCTCCACATATTATGAGAGATTCATTTTCAAATTCATCAATTTTATGAAATAATGCATTATAAAAATCAGGTTGATCTTGATTAGGACCATATATATTAGTCAATGTGATTCTTATTCCTTCTATAGTTACATCTGCTATTATATAGTTTCCACTGTTGTCAGTCATGAATTTGTGGATACTTACTTCCAAATTATTGCTAAATAAAATAGCGACCCCTCTTGCATTTGATTTATATGGTGCTATAATGCTTTGAAGACCCCATTCATTTCTCATAGTAGTTTCATCTTCCTTGGAAATATGAATATCTTGCAGGCATATAATTGAAAACTTTCTTTTCGCCAAAGGTTCAATATTTCTTTACGTTTTCTCTTTTCTGCCAGGCCTCTACAATTGGCTGAAGCTATTCTTATCTTATCACCCATATTGCTTCATAATGTGTGTACTGGTATTATAACTCAAATGCCTACTGATATGAATGTTTATCTTTTTGGAGAAAACAAGATAATAAAAGAAATCTGAGAACATAAAAGCTGAAAAAGGCGTTACCACAAGTCAAATCCATCCTCTAGTAAATAAGTATTGAGGAAATGGCGGCTGTGTCACTATCTTCATAACATCTGGTATAAATTCTATAGAGAAATGTATGTATACAAGAGATCTGTGTACAAGAGGTGTCTTAAGACTAGGTCAAATAAGGGAGGTAACTCGATTCTGGTCAGTTCGATAACAGTATCGAAAGTATTTGACATTAATAAATCGTTCAGTATACAAGAATTATTGTCAGCAGGAATGTTTTGTTCTTCGATACATATATTTATATGCTACAAACTCCGTTATGGGGTCTGGAGACCATACTGCAAACAGGCAGTCGTGAACTGGTAACATACTTGCTTGTCCCTCACGCCTCGGTAATTCAGTGCAAATCACGTGATCAGTGACCGTGTTACACATGCGGTAAAAAGCATATATCATTCACATCCTCAAGTGGTAATCATATATGAATACCCACGATCAGAAAAAATCTTAATAGTGGTAGCGATATTTAAATGTAATACATGCTGTTTCTTTAAGCGGAGACTTCAAATGCATTGTCACTATCAGTGTAGCGAATGTCAACACTAGTCACATGATTAGGTACAAAGCACGTGATCAGTGACCGTATTACTCATCTTGGCTATAAAGCATATCATTGACATCCTCAAATGGCAGTCATATAAAAATACAGGATTCAGAAAAATAGTCTTAAAACTGATAGAGATATTTGTGTGTAATAGATGTTGTTTCATTAGAAGGTGACACCAAATGCATTGTCACTATCAGTGAGGTAGCGAATGTCAACAATAGTCACATGATCGCGCGGACCCACATGGGTCTAAAAATAGACATATAAACAAACTGCTCATGAGAGCTGTGAAGATAGTATATATTGATAAATATCCATAGCAATAGTCTTCCGATTGCTTATCTTCAATAGGGATTATTGTTATATAGTCGTTACCCAGTTGTGCTCCATGAAGTTCAGTCGTATGAATTCTTGTAAAGGTATAAGGAGATAACAAAGAACACAGTGCACGGTTTTCACAAACAGTTGAGAGTTACACACAATGCGACAAGCCTTGTAGAGTTGTTGGCATGCACGAGAGGACCATCATGGCTCGTCCGTCCATCCGTGCACATTTGTCTTTTCCGGAGCAGAACTCTAAAACCGTTCAATATTTCTTCACCAAACTTGGCACATACATTGATCTGGTGGTGTACTGGTGCCTTTTGGTAGTTTTGGAATTCTGAATTAAATATTTTTGGCGTTTCAATGGCAACAAGTTTGACTTAGACTGAAATTGGTGGTAGTGCTCTTTTCCGGAGCTGAACTCTAAAACCGTTCAATGTTTCTTCACCAAACTTGGCACATAGATTGATCTGATGGTGTACTGGTGCCTTTTGGTAGTTTTGGAATTCTGAATAAAGTATTTTTGGCATTTCCATGGCAACAAGTTTGACTTAGCCTGAAATTGGTGATAGTGCTGCTTTCTGGAGCAGAACTTTAAAAACCTTTCAATACTCTCCTTCCACTTTTCTATATACACACCTAAATATTTGACATAATCATAACTCGTAGACATAATCATGAAGAGTATTTTGCCATTGCTGGGGATATTGATGACTTTGTCTTCTTGTTTCTCAATTGTTATGTGTAAGGAATGAAATATTTTGCATTTGGTCAAGAGCCTGAACTTATGTTGGTAATATATATATCACAATCTGTGTGTAGAATGGGAACGAAAACAACTGTTGCTGCCCACCTTCTACCATTCAGTGTCCGCTATAATTTCTTTAATTGGGCTAATACCTCAAATGCCACTTCAAAGATCTGTATGTTAGTTTTTATCCCCCTGGCATGTAATGCGATGTGATATAGTCGACGCCTCATCCGTCCGTCTGTCCGTCCATAATCATTTGGTTTCCGGAGCATAACTCAAAAACCGTTCAATAATTTTTAACAAAAATTGGCATATATACCAAACCGAACCTTCAGTGATGCCTTTTGCCTTTTGCTATTTACAGATTTTTGTCATTTTATTTTTCTTGGTTTCCATGGAAACGATTTGGTCTTAGTCTCAAAAGGGAGAGGTGGGCTTTGTTTCCGGGGCACAACTCAAACTCCGTTCAATATCATTCAGTAAAACTCGGCAGATATATGAGGAAGATTCCAAAGTGGTGCCTTTTGTTATTTACTGATTTTTATCATTTTTATTTTTCTCGGTTTCCATGGAAACGTGTTGGACTAAGTCTCAAAAAGGAGTGATGGGCTTCGTTTCCTGAGCACAACTCGAAAACTTTTCAATATCTTTCAACAGAACTTAGCATTATATCAAACAGAACCTAAAGTGGTGCCTCTTGCTATGTGCAGATTTTTGTCATTTTTATTTTTCTTGGTTTCATGAAATGTTTTGGACTTAGTTTGAAAAGCGAGGGGTGGGCTTCATTTCCGTAGCACAACTCAAAAACCGTTCAATATCTTTCTTCAAGACTTGCAGATTTTGGGCATTTATACTTTTCCTGATTTCTATGGAAACGATTTGGACTTAGTCCAAAAAATCAGGTTGGCCTTTAAGTAACTGTCAGATGATTTGTTCTTTCAAATTTGTGGGGGCCGGGGGGATTTGTCATCTTCTGATGACTCTTGTTATTTTTCAGAGCAGCTGTGATGAAGTCGTGGACAAGTATATAGAGTATGAACCTGTCATTATCTACCTGGATGCTTTGCTGCTGAAACTGCCTGCCTTCAGACACATCCTCATCAATACAGTGCAGACAGTGGGTACACTTTGTTAACATTTAAGGGGTTGTAGGATAGTTACATGGTTAACGCGTTCGTTGCCAATACCAGAGATACAAGTTTGATCCCCTACATGAGTACAATGTGTAAAGCAAAATCTGGTTTTCCTACAGTGTGACATTGCTGCAATATTACTAAATGCAGAATAACCCCAGACTTACTGTAACACAGGGTCCACAAAATGTGTGTAAAATTCTTTTTCAGTGATAGTTTGAAAGAGCTTCACAAATGTATGTTTGTTTCCTTATCGTAGACTGACCCAACCAAATATCAGCATGTAAGTTGTTCTACACTGCAACTTGTTAGGCATGAGAGCATTGCCAGCTCAGGTGTTCATGAGAAGAGGTTTCAAAATAATCTGCTTGTATCATAAAGATATCAAAGCCCATAGACAACCTGGAACCAGCCTGTCTGAGAAATGCCATAAGGCCAAATAAAAGAAATGTTGTGGTTCCGATTACAACTCTTTGAAATTTACGGTAGGTAGGTAGAATTTTTTATTTATTTTTTAATACATTTTTTTAGAAGTAAAGTACAAACTAATAACACATTTATCAATGTGTAATTGTTTATTCAACCAAGCTTGCGGCCATCATGTCAACTTTCTCTATCAGAGTCACCGATGTCCGTAAGTGATGGGAAAAAACAATGGTATCTGAAAGCTTATTTTATTCATACCGCCTAAAAATGATAGTGTCCTCACCAGAATTCAAGGGTTGGTCAGGTAATCGTAACCACAACAAATTTTTTTAGGCCTAACGTTATTACATATGTTCAAAGCAGCATTAAACCCACCTCAATCACTGGATACATATGAATATCTTCTCCATGGCTTTAATCACACTTGGGACTGTGAATGAAATTGGTTCACTGTATTGGATCCAGAAAGGGATATCATCAGTGGTTCCCATACAACTCATAGTGATCATTTCTTATAGGAAATGTCAGTGTGTTGTGGCACATTTTCTCTAATACAGTCATTTAGTCAAGAATTTGCAAGAACACCAGATCATGATATCTAAACTCTCTCTACACAGGCGATATGGAAGTTTACGCTGGTGATCCTCCTGTGTGAGGCGTTCATCCGGCTGCTCCAGGATCGGTATGCGAAAGTCCCCATGGCCGGCCCCATCAAGCCAGACTATGTCTTCTACTCAGCTCTAGAATGGAACTTGTACTACAACTACGCTGTGTCTGCAGGAGGTATGTGTGGTGCTTATTGTTCAAGGATAATTCCCTAGCCTCAAGGAATTGGGTGATAGCCGGCTTCGAAATCCACTTTTTAAGGCAAGACTTTAGAAACCTGATCCTCAGAGTGGTTGTTAGACTAGGGGAATTCAAGGGCTGTAAATACCAAGTGATGCTTGTCGTACGGACTATCAGTATTGTCATACAGGGTCAGTGGGGAAGGGTAGGGGAGTGGCTGGGTTGGGTTCATGTAGAGGCCAATTCCCATATATTGGTACCAAGTGTCATGCTGCGTGGTCATTACTAGAAGTGTTGAAATACTTCACACACTCACACACTTGCTGTGTGAGATTCACTGTGAATGGAATGGAATTTTTCAGTTTAAGAGTGTACTGTCATTACTGACATAATTGATACTAATTGCATTAGTGATAGAAGATGTCCCTTGTAAGTGTTACTCTCATTTAGGTTTGGGATTCATTTTGTTTTTTATTATCTTATTTTCAGAGCTAATGATATTTCTCATGGCAGTTGTGACAGTGTTGTTCATTCTTCAGAGAAAGAGAGGAGGTGGACCGCAACATCCACAACTCAAGTAGGTTCCAATTATTAAAGGTCACATGCAACGCAAAACACAACTTTGCAGATTATGATACCTTTCGGTATGGATTTACAGTCACAAATTATCAAAAATGCAAATTCAACTTATAAAATTGAAAAATAATGCGATGAAAAAACCCCAGCGAAATCGGAGTTCAAAAGATTCACTAAATTCACCCCAGCGCTGGGATGAAAAGTGGTTTCAACAGCTGTGACGCTGCGCCCATAGAGCATGCGCACTCACTGTGATTAGGTTCGCGCAGCTTGAACCGGGAAGGCGACTTGTAAAAACACAGCAAGTAATGCGTGCAATGATTTTCGCTGTGGTCGAAGTTGGAGAACAAAAGATGTTTCTTGTGATTACAAGCATCTTTGGTCTGCAGTAATATAAATACACTGGTCCCATACTTTTTCTTAAATGTTTTCACATCTTGCTTTTTGGGGGTTGGCAGATTTGCAAACCAGGTTTTCAAGAAAGTGTAGCATTAGAAATACTAATTTCTTTGCTTAAAATTGCTCAGCTTGAAAACTGAAAGGTTTTAATACATGTCTATGGAAACATAGAAAAATATGTTGATTGTGATACGCAGTCTCTGTCACAGACAAATCTCAGTGTCTGTTTTATTGACACCTATGTGTCTGCCTGCCTGTCTGCTAATGACCATATGCAATACACAACTTCAATCACTGACCACATGCAATTTGAACTTGAAACGTATCAGACTATACACCATAAACAAAATACATTGATTTATGGCTCGTGCACCTGAGTTCTGTCTCTGTCACATTATGTAGTTACACAGACAGGCAGGTGTGATACTTGTACACATGACATGTTATTATGTCTGTGGGTTGCAAACAAACGGCATGCATTTTTCTCGGTTGACTGGATTGGACGGAAACCGGTGCAAACTCAGATTGTCCATTTAAAGTCCTGCTTTGAACTTGAACGAACGACAGTTTCCTGCCACACAGTAGTTCACCATCTCAGCATTTGTTGATTGGATCGAATGCAAATGCAGAAAAAATGAGCATGTATTTACAAAACCCAACACACAAACAATGAGCCGCGAGGGCATCGGCAAATGAACCAGCCAATGAACCTTCGTTACACTTGAGTGCACACCCACAGACAAAAACCACCCAGACAAAAACCACCCGGACAAAAGCCACCCGGACTAAAGCCACCTAGGACAAATGCCACCCAGACAAATGCCACCTAGGACAAATGCCACCCAGACAAATGCCACCCAGACAAATGCCACCCAGACAAATGCCACCTAGGACAAATGTCACCTAGGACAAATGCCACCCAGACAAATGCCACCCAGACAAATGCCACCCAGACAAATGCCACCCAGACAAATGCCACCTAGGACAAATGTCACCTAGGACAAATGCCACCCAGACAAATGCCACCTAGACAAATGCCACCTAGGACAAATGCCACCCAGACAAAAGCCACCTAGGACAAATGCCACCTAGGACAAATGCCACCCAGACAAATGCCACCCAGACAAATGCCACCTAGGACAAATGCCACCCAGACAAATGCCACCCAGACAAATGCCACCTAGGACAAATGCCACCCAGACAAAAGCCACCTAGGACAAATGCCACCTAGGACAAATGCCACCCAGACAAATGCCACCCAGACAAATGCCACCTAGGACAAATGCCACCCAGACAAAAGCCACCCAGACAAAAGCCACCTAGGACAAATGCCACCTAGGACAAATGCCACCTAGGACAAATGCCACCTAGGACAAATGCCACCCAGACAAAAGTCACCTAGGACAAATGCCACCCAGACAAAAGCCACCTAGGACAAATGTCACCCAGGACAAATGCCACCTAGGACAAATGCCACCCAGACAAAAGCCACCCAGACAAATGCCACCCAGGACAAAAGCCACCCAGACAAAAGCCACCTAGGACAAATGCCACCTAGGACAAATGCCACCCAAATAGAAACATAAAACACCAACACAATATCATGTTTCCCAGATGTATTTGCATGATAATTCATTTTCATTTACACACTTTCATTATTGCTTTCATTCTCATCTTTTTTCATTTTTCATTCACACTTTTATTAACATTGCTTTCATACTCCTTTCTGCGATGAAACATATTCAACTTGGTTGTGCATATTGGAAGTGAAATGGTCAGTTTGTTAGTTATTTGCTATAGTTAACATCGCACGCACAGCTAAGATATTTCGGCGACGGGGTAGTACACTTATTAAAGAACCAATAAACTTTGGTTTTTGTTACTCTTTTAACCATTACATTGAAAGATTTGTGGTTAGTCTTATGCGGAACACCAAATTTATTCTTTAAAAACTTGTGGTTAATTAATACCGAGCGATTATAAGTGGCCAAAAAGTCGCCTGCTTCCCTCTCGCCCGCCAACGAAACCACAGACAGGTTACGTAACTCTGTCACCACAGCACTGCAGTGACGTCATATGAGGAACGATTTTCAGTTAGTTGTATAGAAAGTGTGTAGCACGCTCATCATTTTGATGATTTCGACATCAGCGGCGACATGCGAATCGTTGTTTTGTCGTCAATTGCTCCTAGGGTCGGGCGATGGTGTCACCATGCACAGATTTCCACAGGACCCCGCGAGTTCGTGCTAAATGGGTTATGTTTGTGAGTGCGGCGGCGTTATGGAAGCCTGAAAGCGATGTCTTACTTGTGTTCATATCGCTTCACGGAAGTTAAAAAAACAACTACTTACTAGTTGTAGTAAAATATGTATATGATTGATGACCATAAAGATTTTCCATGACACAACTTGTAACATAACGATTTCTTCCTCAGAAGTGAGGTTGTGGTCGGTAACAATAATATTGTAAAGTAGTATTATATTGACACCCACCTCGCTGCCAGGAGAGAAATTGTTATGTTATAAGATATGTCATGCAAAATCCTATTATTATCAATAAAATACATATTTACTACCAGTAGAAAAGTAGTTTTGATTTTGTAACTTTCGGTGAAAACAAACTTAAATAGCATTTATCCTCAGACTGGCGGATGTTCCGACATATAGGCGCCGCCATTTTGAAAATCGTAAAGTCTGTTAGAATTAATGAGATTATAGTTTGTTTTCATCAAGTTAGAAAATCAAAACTACTTTCTACTCGTAGTTAAATATGTATTGGAATCATAACCAAACGGATTTTGCATGACACAATTTATAACATAACGATTTCTTCCACGGAAGTGAGGTGGGGGTCGAAGTCACAATACTGCGCGTGATAAATTTCTTGCTACATTCCCATGGTTAATGTCCACTCACCAGTATGTAGATACTAGTCAGTAATGCGTCTTTATATTTGGTCTTATAATCCTAATTAGTTTATTATCACACTTGTATGCATTTTGAAACTAAATAAAAAGCAGACAATCTGCTGATACTTATAGTTAATTTATAACAGAACTGTAATATCTAGACATTTTATAGTTTGGTAATGTGAATCATAATTGCACACACACACCCTAGTGCATGTTGTCTGTCTCATTACACTTCACGGGCGAAAACAATGATTCTGTTGAATGCTTCACGACAAATGAATAAAAACAAAATGCAAATATTAAAATTAAAACAGATTAAAGTTATAGGAACAATATCAGGCCATTACCTTGTTCGAGGAATGTATCCATCAATATCCACAAAACTGTTCCAAATGATGTGTCTTTTAACAGTTTAATATACCGAAAAAGTGATAAATCTTTTCAGGTATTGGTGTATAGTCTCATTGGTCACCCAAGATAGCACACCTGGCAAATAATTGCATAATGTCCGCCTTTCTTTAAAAACAGTAATTTAGTTAGCCAACAATGGGCAATCAATCAATGTATTGCCGGTTAATCCTTTCAAAGAAGGACGTTGTTTTTACGCAGACACCGACACAACAGAGTGTATTCAGTATAGATTAGTAAATCTACATACATAAACACTACCTTTTGACAATTCCGCTGTGTAAGATAAAAGTAATTAATCAATCAGCGTATTATCGGTTAATCCTTTGATCAATGTTTATAATGTTGAATATTTACTCCAGACACAAGAAATGCCAAATGGGAACCTTTGTCAGGGTAATCTAAGTGTGTTACCACTAATTATACCTGTTATAAATTCATTAACTGACCATCAAGTGAATGATGACAAATAACATGTGTAGATTTATACCACCTAACACACCGGGTTACAACAAGGGAGTATTAATTGCTGTATTGCATGTGAAAACTTATGGGCCGACACTGTTTTGAGAATACAAACAGATTTTTACATGACATGATTAAATATCGAGGTAAAAAACACAGATATGGGATCAATTTGGATCAGTCATTATACAAATTGGGCCTAACGACACCAAGCGATTTTGACAGAATCGTCTATGAAAACAAGTTGTAACTCGGAAACTAGGCAAAGCAGGAGACAAAATTAAATGACAGTAGATTGTGAGAACATATAGCTTTCATTTTCCACAACAATTGTCACGATTTCAGGTTTATACAAGCCTGTAAACAAGATAATTTACCCCCTGAAATGTAGATGAATTCTGCATCGGCCCTCATATCTATTCCTTATATGACGTCACAGAGACGCGCTGCTCTGATTGGTTGAAATTTCGTTCGCTGGTGAGAATTGTGCACCGTTGTCAAAAAGGTCGATTTAAGTCAATTAAAGGTCGAAATGAGTAGTTTTAATGACGGGGTTTCATTTATAACGATGCCAGTTAGTGATTTATGTATTTGTACCCCCTAGGGTATATGTGATCTTTAACATATGAGGGGGGGAGGGGGGATAGAGATTTTGAAAGAGTGGTGTTACTACCAAAAAAACAACTGAGTATTAAGGGAAATTTGAATGGAGGGAATAATGATAAACATATAAAAGGTTAAACAATGAAGTTGATAAAAAGAGAGAACTCTTTGGTAGAGTGGATAATGTTTTCCTATTATTTGCCAGTTATAATTGAATTTATTTATTAGTATTTTATTAACTTTATTTGTTAGGTCTGTTTTGGAGTAAGGTATTTTTTATATATACTTTTTTGAGTGGAGTCCAAGTTTGGCAGCTTGGTCTGCCATTTCGTTGCCATGGACTCCAGGTAAAGTGTATTTGATTATTTTTATTTTGGTGGTAGAGTATTCTTCTGTATATGTTATTTACATACAATCGTTAAAATTAATCCTCCTTACTTACATCTTATCATAACATCTCCTCTTACTGCTACTCCAACAGGCTAAGTAGTCTTGTTAACCAAAGGATGTATTCTATTGATAAATACACCGGTTAAAGCCATTTAATACAATATTCAGACTGACTCTCCCCAAGACTCCCCATGTGCTTAGTTAGCCTTACTTTCAAAACAGTGCTATTATAATAGGCTTCTCACCAAATTCAAGGTCAATCAAATTTTACCGGTACATCAATTTACGTTAACAATTTTCAAAAAGTCAACATTACTATGAAATCAAAATCAACTTTTTTTATAAAAAGTGAATATTTTTATTAAAGAACCCAAATTATTCTTCAAAGTCGACATAATTTTACAACAAAATCAACATTAAAGTCAATAAGGGTGGTAATTGTCCTCTCTGTAATGGTAAAATAACTGGGTGGCTTTGGTCTTAGGTGGCATTTGTCCTAGGTGGCATTTGTCCAGGTGGTTTTTGTCCGAGTTGCTTTTGTCCTGCTCCCCCAAATATTGCACTTTTGATTTGCGATTGTACGCTTTTAATTTTGTTTATTTGTTTTTTCATAATCAGCAATGTATATTACATGTCATGAATAAGTGATAATTGTGTTTTAATTATGTTTGTTTTTTGGTTGCATGTGACCTTTTAAATAAATAAAAGACATGTAACAACAGCGATAGGAATTGGCGCTTGTCTGACTAGTCCAGTCTTCGTTGTCAAAATACCTGATAGTTAGTAGTCTGGAACTATGGAGAGTGTGGCTGACGGTTCCTGTCAATGATTAAGTCAACACCACACAAACCATGTGCCCTTCATCAGTGTAGGAAATAAGCCAAAAATCAGGCCAGACATCAGGGTTGGTAACTTCAAAATGTTACCAGCACAAAATGGATTTAACCATACCAAATATGGTGAATTTACTCAGATGTATGGAACATCTAAAAATGTTACCAGACCATTGGGCTGGCTAGCTGTAAATGTAGACCGTCTCGGGCGGTCAGATGGGCCTTATTTACAACACTGCCTTTATATTCATGTACAGTTCAACAGTTTGGTTGTGGATAGTAGTTTGATGGGTGACCCTGTTCAACTCCTGGGAGTCTCTAGGACTTTGGTGCTGCCCCACACTGAAGCACATACAACATGTTGTCTACTGTACATAATGTTATACTGTTCTGAATATGTCTCTGTTCTCCCAGCAGTGAGTGGGTACCTGGTAGGATGAGATGGTAATGAGACTGTTGACCTAGCACCTCACAAGCAGAGGGTTGTATACTCCCAAGAAGCTGAGAATGCATATTGTGTGCGCATAGGGCACAGGGGTGATGATAGTGTAGCTCTTGGAGCAGGCCCTTGTAGTGTTGACATAACAGGCAGTATAAATGGCTTTATTATTACTATCATTCTATCGCATGGAGGCCAGGTCCTGTATACTTTCAGTACCCTTTTCTTTCTACCATCTCATAAACTAACAATGTATAATTCAGCATCCAGCTTGTCGTCCGTGCCCTCATCTGGTCCAACTTCGGGAAGGTGCTTGTGATCCCTGTCATGTTGTGGGGACAGACATACAGCGCCATCTACCTCAGTCTTAGCCGAGCCTACGTCCTGGCCTGTTACGTGCAGGCTCTTCGAGGTTTGTATGTTTGTGGTGGTCTAATGTTTAGTAAAGTATTGTCGGAAATAGAAAAAAAACTGTTTTTAGGCTGTTACTCTGTATCCCTAAATTTACACAATTGCAAATAGCAATGTCGAAATAACCCACTTCGGCCTAACTGGGCGTTCAGTGGGATGCGTAATACGATATCCAGAAAAGCATGTTTACTCGTAAAATCGGGCAAAACTTATAAAAATCGAATAGCTGCTGAAAACAATAGATCAGACTATAGATGGCAATTAGGTCGCTCAGCCAGGTATGACGACGGACCGTTCACTCACCTGGCATGAAATGCACGTGCTGCCTACAGGCACAGTTGTCATGTCTCAAAGATATATTGTGCTTTTTTCATGTTTGTGTTGAGATATGTAGTGTCTCATCTAAAGATGAAACGCGTAGTATATACCTGACCACCCAAGTACTATATTATTTGTTAATTGTTACGACGCCGTGATACCCTCAGTATAATTGCCTCCTAAAGGATTATCTTATCTTAGCTGATATCTCTATCCCCCAGCCCGACCCCAGGTTTTGCTTTTGAGACGACCCCTCCTATCAGTTTCTTTTTATAGTGACAGTGAGACTGCATGGTAGCTACATCCTTAATAGTTTCAGCATAAAAGTTATTATTTTTTACAGCTATCGTTTATAATGAATCTACGTCTAATTTCAAATAGGGCATTTAAAAAGTGTCCTTTGTAATACAATATTGTCGCACACTAATTTGCATAAAGCCATGGTCCGTTCCAAATAAGTCTTTTTCCCCTCAGTCAAGTCCTTTTTCTCCGTTTCCTATCTCTCTAACACTGAGACTGTAGTTAGGCCGAACTTAGTTTAACAGATATTTCACACTTTCACATATCAACTACATAAATTGTAGAGATAAATGAGAAAATACAGGTTTTTTCTATTTCCGACAGTACTTTAGTATTCACCGAATTTGATAGTCTTGTCTTGAATTTAGTTTGTGTCCATAGTTTCATGAACATTCCTCATCTCAAATACATAACCTGTTTACTTTGAAAAATCCCCTTGAACTTAGTGGTAAATAATTTCTTTCTGATGTGTTTGCTGTCAGCATCAGCAGAGTTATCTCCCTTTAAGTAATCAGATGCTTCTGTTAATTTGTAAGAAACTGAACAGAACAAAATACACTGCTCAAAAGAAGTTGAAGAACTTCTAATTAATACATGACTTTATCTGTCATGTCATTAACTTATTTTGAATAATATATTTTGAATTTGCATAGCCTTGATTGCCTTACTGAAATGCTATCCAGCTGTTCACACTTGTCTGTCTGTCTTCATTGCAAAAATGTACTCAGACCAAAGACAATATTTCATGTCATCATTGTGTTGAAGAAAGTAGGCATCACAATCCAAGCATTACTAACTAATCTTGATAGAAGTTGTGATGAAGTGGCTTATTATACCCTGGAGGTCGCCGTGAGTTCTCTGGTCAGCTTGTAGCACATCTCACAGTTCGCTTGCACCAGATCTGACAGTGTTATGCTGGACAGAAACAGTGAACGTGAAGCTAATTTAACCTTTATAAGATGAAACAAAACTTGTTTTCAGTGACTGGACCAGCATCAAGTCTACTGGAGGCTGTAACTGTGATCAGCATAGGTTCTGCTGTGCAGTGGGGTGTCATGGCCTGTCTGCCTACATGACCCGGACAGTGGGGTGTCATGGCCTGTCTGCCTACATGACCCGGACAGTGGGATGTCATGGCACGTCTGCCTACATGACCTGGATAGTGAAGCCTGTCTGATGACCCGGACAGTGGGGTGTCATGGCCTGTCTGCCTACATGACCCGGACAGTGGGGTCATGACATGTCTTCCCACGTGACCTGGATAGTGAAGCCATGACCTGGACAATGGGATCAATCCAGTGTGTCCATGTGGAGTTTGGACCTGTGTTCCAATGGGACTGGACAGTGGAGAGTCAGGGCTAGTCTGTCCATGTGACCTGGACAGTGGAGGAGTCAGGGCTAGTCTGTCCATGTGACCTGGACAGTGGAGAGTCAGGGCTAGTCTGTCCATGTGACCTGGACAGTGGAGTCAGGGCTAGTCTGTCCATGTGACCTGGACAGTGGAGAGTCAGGACCTGTCTGACCACTCAAAAGAAATGGCTTTCCAGGCACAGCAAACAGAAACTGAAATGTCACATGATTTCTCCCAGCCTTGATGACTGACCACCAGTTTGTTCAAGAAGTCCACGAAGGTTTGCCTCTGTAAACGTGTCTCATATTAGGAAGCTGAATTGGGGCCTACATGTTTCTCCATATGACGACGTCCCATGATGTTCAGTTCCTTCTAGGGGCAGTGGGGTAGCCCAGAGGTGAATGTGTTTACTCATCACGCCGAAGGCCTGGGTTTGATTGCCCACATGGGTATAATATGTGACGCCTATTTCTGTTGTTCCCTGATGTGATGGAGGTGTAATCTTGCTAAAAACGATGTAAAACCCAGCTTTCTCATAATTCATTGGCCTTTAGTGTTTGTGTAGAACATACCGAATACATGCTGAAATCCTTGTGGGCTATAGACTAGTGGATAGGTGCTATTCATACTTGTTACCATGGTCACCTTTACATAGTTTTTAATAAAATTAAAATACACAAATTCAGCATAATCTTCACATTTTTATTGTTTCATTTTGATGAAGACGTGCAGTTTCAACTCTCTGTTGAAATTATATCACCAAAATGTAACTAACCTGATGAGGCATTAAGTACACACACACATTGATACACGCTCGCTTCAACATCGCTGATGAGGACAACAGAATAACTTAACATGAAACATTAACTGCCAATCACAAGACATATGACATGGGACACTATGGAAGCTAGCAAGATGGACTTCAAAATCAAATTACAGTTTCCTTGTAACATAATTATTACAAGATATATACAATGCTGATATCATAAACATTATATCCATTCCTTTAAGAAATTTTACCAACACATACACTGATTCCTACTGTATTACATGTATACATTTTTAAGGACAATTTGAAGATTGTTACTTTCAATACATACATTTGCCATTGTCAAAATTAATCTCACACAATAAATAATATTTCCATTTTGAAATCAATTCTTTGTAAGTATTCATCAAGTAACAAATTTACAGAAGTTACGAAAGACTCAATCAATATCGTTATGGTGTCTCCTACACTGTACATCACAAGACAGATAAAGCAGATTTTGGCTAGGCCATCAACATTTCAAAGCAACATGCTGCCAAGGTCGAGACAGTCTGGACAATCAGCATTGCATTGTGGGACACGTGCTACAATTACATGTTGGAGATGACGAGCATGACACGCGATGTTACGGTGCAGCATTCAGAGCGCCAGTCAACATGGATCCCTGGTTATCGCAGTACAAGACAAAGTGGGTGTAATTTGGACATTTATGAAAAATCTCGCCCAGATTTTTTCTATCATCAAAAATACAAAATATGAATGAAGTTTATAACTCCCCTTGTTTCTCATGATGGATAAAACACAATTTGTGGTTTGATACTAGGTATCGAATGATGGGACAATGGTTCACAACTTTGGTCATGAACGTAGCTGCCTTTGTTCGGTCGACGGATTAGCTGCTGCTGCTGCTGCTGCTGCTGTTACTGTTGTTTGTGCTGTTGTTGGCGAGACGCTGTTGACCGCTCCGAGACGTTGTTCACATCACAACATGTAATGTTAGTTAGAACAAGAAGCATTAATCATGGCAACTTGCGGACAACACGTCGTGGAAAGTCACGAGTCAGCACAATATTTGGAGGGATTAAGAAGTCGCTGGGTACAGCAAACACATTGTTACAACTGATGCAGTTCACTTGTTGGCTGTTTCAGTCAGACCTAATATTTAAAAATCTTAAATATGTTTAGTTTGCAAACTGACATTATTGCTGTTTGCCATCTGACTTTTAACTGTATCTACTTCACTACAAAACAACATCTCTAGGCTGTGATACGGAGATGCCATCAACATTATTCTTGCTTCAACTTACAGAGGTCCTCATATTTTCAAAATACTGTCTTATAATAATTCTGTTGAAAGAAAGGAGAAACAACCTCGAATAGTGAGACATAATTACCCAAAATAACAAAAAAAACTCTAACTGTGACTTAGATTCATTTTAACAATTTTCATATTCTGAACCATTTCCATAATTCTGTTTAAATGGGAAGTTGTTTTTTAAGTACACAGTGCAGTTAACATTATTTTGCAAGATTTCTTTGTGCCCAATATTTCACTGTTTTATCCGTGTAAGATAAACGAAAGCCTTACATGAAGATGCTGGGTTCATGTTTAGTAAGGAAAGCATATTGATTCAGCTAGTGTGTATATTCACAGCTGATACAACACAGGATCCAAGACACCACCCTTTAGGATCACAATCAGGTCACAAGTACCATACCCTTGAGATTCACTATGAAACCACAAGAAACAGCATGGCTTACCACAGATTGTGAATTCTCAACACAAGACAAATACATTAGAGTGTACTGAACCCCAGTTTGTACAATACTGACGGAAATGACTTCAGATGATATCTAATTCACTCACTCCATAAATAACAGCACATGTACACTTGTATTTACATATATACAAACTCAATTTTGTGATATAAAAAACAATTCCATAAACAGCAGTTTAAAGGTGTACGTCAGTTTATAGCGCCTGATGTCACTGACCATTGCTTGTAACCCTACATGAAACTACCCTTGCTCAACTGATGTTTTCATAGTGAACATTAAACTCTGTAGTTTGCACAAGACCAATTATATGTTGGATTTTATCAATTTTCGAAACAAATCAGGCAGGTAGAACTGCAATGAGTGGTTTCACTGAGTTTGTGTCTCCGGCCACACTGGCAGTATTCCAGCTTTACCATGGTCTGGACCAGACAATCCTGTGAGTGACATCATGAGCATCAATCTATTCAATTTCGACACAATAACATGCATGATCCGAGTCAGTAAATCTGTCATAGACACTGAACATTCAGAGCATGTCTATCAATTCAGGATAAAAATCAAGTTTTACAATCAACAAATATTTTTCTATTTCTTTTACACCATACTTTACCTGCACCTGTTTCTGTGTTTTGGACATATCAATGTTTATGAAGTAAGAGAAGCTGGCTCTTAATTTTTCAAAATTGATCAATGTTAAACTCACAAGCTGTTCTGGATGTGCCATTATGTTTGATTGTTGGCACCATGTTGACACCCAACCTTCAGCCATTGGAAAGCCGAAACTTCTCTCCACAGAGTTGACAGTTTCATTTAGATAAAAACATGTTGAGTCAAGGAGACGTTTCAGTAGAGCTGGGACACATCAAATCATATTTGATGTAAAAGAATGTTCAACCAATCAGATGAAAGAAGCACTTCGGCTGCTTCAGTTGAAAACAATGAGAACATACCTCGTACAAATTGATTATACATTCCAATAAAAATTTACACTTAATAAATAGATCGGTACTTCCTATATTGGTGATAAAGGGTTTCATCTAGAAAGTCTGGAAAATTATGAGATGGTTTCTCATAATTTTTTGTTATTTTTTGCTTGCTAATAAAAATACTATATTCATTTACCAACATTTACAGAATCATAACTTCCTAAGGCCTTTGCTTTTTATTACAGAACTGCCAACCTTAAACAAATAATTATATAAGAAATTCAGAATGATTTCTTATGTAAAGGTAAAAAACACTGTGGCAATAGACAAAATGCAAGGAACATAAATATTTTATATGAAAGAACCTTGCAGAATTTAAAGGCATTATTTTTTCAGTCTCACAAACAAAATCTGTTAACCTTAAAACAAATTAAGTCTTGCCTTAGGAAGTAGACAGCTTCTGGAATCATGGACTTTATCTAGTCTTCAAGATACCAAGGCCCAACTTTCAATCTGTTAGATGAAGCCCTTACCACTCATCTAAGTATCTGTATATACATATATCGCTTGTAAATAAATATATCAATGTAGCTCAGAAATGCTTTACCGGTCATCACAATTACAGAAAATATGTGTATTTAATTAACATACATCACTTAAACAGAACATGGAACAATAATAAATATATAATTAAAACTTACAAAAACTTTCAGGCTTAACAATTTACATCTTTAGCTAAAATTCAAAACCTGAATTATTTCATAAACCAAAATGTTTTTATGGTTCATTTCATGAATATTATAAACTTGTATATTAAAAAGGTAAAAAAAAATCAAATATTATTCCTAAAACAACAGTAACAACAATGACAAACACCCATTCTCTGGAAAATACCATACTAACTGTAATGCTATACTGATGGTTGATTTAAACATATAACATTGTCAATATCTGCTGGTAAATAGGGAAAATAAGTATACATACCATTTAATTATTTCATTTATAACTCCACATACCAACCAATATCTTGGAAACAGTTATTTATAATTTTCTCATGCAGTGCAAACGCAAAACAAAACATTCGTTTAAAAAACTGTTCGAAAACCATAACATTTTATCCCACAAAAACGTTACAAAAAATCTGTTCCATCTTCCTGATGTTAAGTTGCTGAAGCAAATAAACTTAAATTCAGTAGAAATGAAGTACTTAACATTTCACAGTAACAAGAAAAGATTCTATCAATCTTCAAATAATGCCATTTCAAATCACCGGCATTCAAAAGCCATTTTAACATCTTCAAGGTATTGAGGATAGGACGTCTGTTCAACTTGTTCCAAGAATTCCTTCCTAATATCTTATTGTTTACATCAGAAATATGGTGGCACAAGAACATCTCACTCGTTGAACTTCCATATAAGGATATAATTCCATATAAGGAGATTATGATGAATGTAGAAGCAAATGTCTGCTGCCTGGAGACACACATCCACTGATGTGCTCAGTAATAATTGGCTGATTCATGTCATGTGACCTATAAATATATTGTGATTGGTTGTCCTGTGGTCACATGATCATGGTTGAGATCCCTGTCTCTCTGATGTTGATTGAACATTTGAATTAGAAGTACGAAAGTAAAAACACGGAACCATATTCCAACACAAAGCACACTGAAATCTAGAATCCTCCAACGTCTTTGGCAAAACAGTGCTCTAGGCTTTGTCTACGATGAAATGAGCATGAATACTGTGGAGTGATGAACGTGAGAAAAATGGACCATGAAATGTTGAACACTATGACGATGAAATGCACCGAATCCTGACTGGGGAAACCTACACTATCACCTCTCTGTCACTGGCTAGAGTCCTTGAGATGTCGATCTCGATGTTGATATCCTTCTTGTGAGAGGTTTTCGGAGGAGGGGTGTTTTCTCGGAAGTCATTAAAGTCTGTCGACGAATCAGTCTGGGTCGGATCCCTCCGTGGACTTTTTTCATATTTTTCTAAATCAATATCTCGCAACTCTGTTGCCGAGATGTTTTTTGATGTTCCACCACCCTTGTCTGTGCCAAACAATGGATTCCGGTACCTTCGGATATTTTGCTCATTTTCATTATTAGTCTTTTGGTAGTTCGTGTAACTCTCCAGTCGCTTTCGCCGAGCACGTTGCCGCCGATGATGCCAGATGACGAGCATGATGATGCTGGTGACACCAATGATGCCCATGATAGAACACACCAAAGGAATCAAGTAGCTGGGTCCTGCAGGAAGAGAGAAACAGCATCAACAACAGCATCAACAACAACATGAACAACAACAAAATCATTGACACCATCAAAAAAGTAATCATCAACATAACCAAACAGTAATACATAAACTGTTTATAGATATACAGTCAGTTAAAAAACCCCCAGATTAGCGAATCCTGGCATTGCCAAGGGAAACAATGTATACTGGATCCATCACTATTGATTCCAGTGGCATCATCTCAACTGTCACTTTGAAACATTTGTGTAGGAAATGCCTCAATTCTGTAACTTCCCAACGTAACTTGCAATGGCAGATTCAGTTTAATGATACACCCATCAATAGTCCTCATCTCTGGACTGGCACAATAACACAAAACTGTAATTACTTGTTCCTCTGTCAACAATGGTTGTCTCCACTCGGATCTCCCTGACCGCCGAGAGGGCGCTGCTGTTGCTCTGCTTGTGACTGACCACATCCAGATCAGCAAGAGTCCTACCACGGTCAATGGCCGTGTGGATCAATCTGGGGTCCATCTCGCCACTGGCCACATTTGTTGACTGAAACAAAAGCGAAAAGTGAACTGATTGGCCTCTACAGTCCTACCACAGATCTTCCCATCAAGAGTCCTACCACTGATCTTTGTCTAATCACACATCTGGGTCCTACCACAGATCTTCCCGTCAAGAGTCCTACCACTGATCTTTGTTTATCACACATCTGGGTCCTACCACAGACAGTATACTAGTGTACAAGCGGGAAGTATTGCTGTAACATGGATCTGAGCCTATATCTTACCAGTGTGACCTCGACTGTGTCAACTTGACCCTCCTTGATCCCGCACATAATGAACAGAGCGTCGTGATTGGCTAGTTTCCTCAGCACAGGAAGCTGACGAAGAGTGTTGCAGATTGTCTCAACAGACACACCCTAAAACAGACACATCCAGATGACTGACTGAGCTAACACTGAATGTTCTACATCGTGTTGATACCAATGGAGTGACCTAGTATTTTATCTGTTTCAGCAGTTTTCCAGCAATCGTAGTACACAATGAATTGGTTACATACAACAGAACCATGTGGGCAGTCGAACTCAGGCTTTAGGCCTGAAGACTGACCCTACAGCCACAGCGCTACTGCCAATAAGATTCAGGGAATTAATAGGAATACTGCATTACACATTTTCTGTTGGCTGACGTTGTACGTTCCGCTTCATGATTGTCCGTTTTTGTGTTACCACACTCAAATGTACCAGCTCCATGAGGCCGGCCTGTATCAAGTCTGTATCAAGCCAAGTCTGTATCAAGTCTGTATCAAGCCTGTATCGAGCCTGTATCAAGTCTGGACCAGACAATCCAGTGATTGATATTGTGTGCAACGATTCTTACTTATAGGGTCATGACATACAGTCATCCAAGCTACTGAACCTGACTAAATGATACAATCGTCCACCTCTTACAACATAATAATAGGACCTACATTAATACAACCAACCAACATAGGTTTCATGATCATTCACTTACCATGGGCATTTTTGATTTGTCAAAGACAAGTGTGATCTTGGCGCAGTTGTTGCCAAGATTGGCAGAGTTGGGGGTGCAGGCCGTCTCCAGCCCCTGGGGAACGGGGTCCTTGATGTGGTCCACCTTCTTGCACTGCCCCCAGGGCAGACAGGGAGGGGTGAAGCAGATCTCCTTGGTCTGCACCACGCAGGTCTCATCATTCATGCAGTGGACCACGGGCTCCGAGATGTTCGGGTGAGGCAGGCAGTTCCGTGGACCACACCAGATCTGGAGACAGAACATTGAGTTTAATTTGCCCTGATGTGGGGAATCAATCCGGGTCTTAGCAATATGCTTTAATGGTAGGCTACTCCATCACCTCAGAAATGGACAAAATGTAAGACAACACTATATCTTTCTTTGTGAAACCCATAGAGGTGAGTGAGGGAATTGGGTATAAACGTCGTTAGCTTGAGGGTCATTAGGTGTGATGTATGTGTATATCGCGGCTGCTTGTACTAGCCCAGACTGAAGCTGGCTTTATAGTGCTAGGCCCTGAGATACATACCGCTACCCCATCAGACACTCTGGAGCCGACCAGTCCAGACAAAATGTAAGGCAACTACTATATCTTTCTTTGGTAAACTACATCAGACCTTACTTTGCTCTAACCACTACACCCGAGGCGGTCAACTACTTTAGAATACTATGTGACATGTACAAGGTAGACTATCTTGAGTGTAGTATCATGTAGGGTGCTTGCCGTCACTTACAAGACCTTGCTTGTCTGATATTTATCTTGGAAACAGGAATAATCCATGGACTTCAACTAAATGTCAGACACAAGAGTAACCACCAAAACCACAGTGCCACCAAAACTGTCTCACCTTGCTACAGGTGACCTTGCCGTTGTCACAGATACAGGAGTTACACTGGTGCTCCCATTGGCTGCCGTCTTCGTAAATACGCCTGTGGTGGACACACGAGTTGGGGGAGGCAATCTGACCAATCACTGTACGGAAACACAGTACAGGTGAGTTCACTTATATGTACAGGTGCACGTTGGCATGCAGTTAAGTCATTATTCATCCATGACAACTTTCTCGAACAAGAAGAAACATTTCTGCCTTAAAATGCTTGTCTGAAGAAACAATGGAATGTTTATTAACATTACTATATAATATTATTGGTATGAATTTCATGTGTGCCGCTATTCATGGCGAGTTACACTGTAGGAGTGAGTGAGTGAGTTGGGTTTTATGCCACGTTTAGCAATATTCCAGCAATATCACGGCTGGGGACACCAGAAATGGGCTTCACACATTGTGTCCATGTGGGGAATTGAACCCAGGCCTTCAGCATGATGAACAAACGCTTTAACCACTAGGCTACCCAACCACCCCGTTACACTGCAGGAAAAAAAATAGTGTACTTTCTTGGCAGACAAGCATCAAATGAATACAGTTTGTTATTTTATAAAAAAAACTTAACAGTGGAGCTTCTAAACATCGCAAAAAGATATGCATCTCCCAACCAACATCCCTGACACCACCCTGAAAAGGATGCTCCCTTATAGTACAGGATTACCACTAGCTGAATTAGAGACACAGATTGATAAAACAATCAGGCACCTCTGACCAACATTTCCCTGTGCCCTTTCCCCGTTCAGGTGTGGCGATACCCCCAAGCCTACCTGTCTGACACCTGTCTCCAGTCCTCCCAGGGGGACAAATACAGGTGAACTCTCCGATACCATCAATACAGGTGCTGCCGTACGTGCAGGGACTAGAGGCACACTCGTTGATATCTGCAGGACACAACATTCAGGATTAGGTTATCAATCACTATGAAAACTACTTTCCAATTAAGCATAGAACAAGAATTGAAATGTTAAGACAAAATTGATACAATAAAAGTTTAAACTAATACATTTAGTATTCTTTAGAAAATATTCAGGAGCACGAGGTGCATGTATGAGGATTATTAGACTGGGAATGACAGGACATGAAGCTTGCCCGCCACTGGTTGGACGATCCATTTTATTGGTATTCACTATACACTTAGTGAGTTCTGTCACTCATTATCACTATCTCATCTTCATGTTATCTTCGACATTTAAACATAAGGGTTACAGGCACAGGGGTTCGAATCACTGTTTGAAATAATGAGTGTAGCTGCAGAATTTTCTTAAATCTTTATTTCTTCACCGATTTCATTGAAATTTGAAATATATGTTAATCATAACATATAAAAACAATACATGATTTCAAAAGTCCAGATTTTTATTTTGTTAATTTTATTGTCCAAACAGAGATTTGAACCCATGTGGTTACAAGAATCGTTTCTGCTATGGAATCCCAATGGTTGTTGTAGTAGTGTGTACTGTGCAGATCAGGGATATTTCACCCAATCAGAACCAGCCATCAGGAACAAACCATACAAAACCCAGGGGTCAGTCATCTCCATCCTTGCAATACAGACATTTGACCACCCAATACCCATGACCTCCTGACTGACTGACTCGCCTCTCAACCTCTGTATACTTACTGACACCGACACAGTCAGTTGGGCGGAGAATCCCTTTGGCACACCGACACCTGCATTCGCACCAGTTGACGTCGTCAATACATGTGCCTCCATTGTAGCTGAAATAACACAAGAAGCATTACAACTATTATTCAACACTGTCTAAAAGGGTAATATTTTTGTTGAATCCACAAGTTTTATATCGGTAAGCTTTTTAATTTTTGCTGAGCTGCAAGGACATAAACATTTATCATGAAGTCTTCACAAGGAGATCACAGTATGAAGAAGGGATGGCATGCTGTATTTGTCATCATGAGCAGTATCGAGGTATGACATGTCTAGCTGATTTGGCCATAATGGAGATGAAGGACAGGTCATAACACAAAACATCCTGATTTAAATGAAACTCACCATATTCACTTTCCACTACTTACAGAAGGTTTACTGCAAATCTCGGAAATAAGAGAGGTGTGTTTGAGGGCACGTGCCCATGTAGGGCTGTGTGTTAGTTACCGCTGCTGGAATGCTAATCTCCTTCTGGTCACAACTTGTCCATCTTTAGAATCTAAAGTATACTCTACTTGTCTCACGGTCTTAATAAACTCACCATGGAAACGGGTTGCAGTCGTTGATGTTTTTCTCACAGGTCTGCCCCTCGTAGCCATCACGGCAGATGCAGGTGAAGCTGTCACCGCTGTTGACACAGGTGCCGGCGTGGCGGCAAGGGGAAGAGTCGCAGCTGTAAACTGCCGCTGTAGCAAGAAACCATTACCGTTATGCTACTGAAGTGATGGGTTCATATTTGACTTGGCATGGTGCCTGGGCTTTTGACATTGAACTTAGCCGAGGCAAATACAGGCTGAAATGACCACGGGATCTAGGCCAAGACCAGTTGGAAAAAGACATATTATATGCATTCATCAGTTCATTCATTACCCTGCCAGAAACTACAGAAGACACTGAGAAATAAAACGGATGCTGTTTAGTGCACGATTAACACTGAAAAGATATGACGATGACTGGGAATTAAAATGGCCAAAGTCCTATTTGTTTCTTCAGACCATTACTGGCCTGCTAATCCTAAACTCAACATTCATCATTGGCACACTGGATATTGTAGGCCAACAGGTTGTGCAGACATTAGACACAGGGAAAGCGTTGGGTGATAAAGACACGGTCGGTGGGACAACAGACCAGTAGACAATAGATATTTTAATCCCCAAGTCGGCAATAGGTGTGGTCGACTTTTGGTACTGGATAGTTGTTTGATGTGGGGTAGACATTTGGTAGTCGCTGGCGTAGACATTGGACTACAGACACTTTGATGTTTTAGGGACAAATTGAGCAGACATACTGTCAGTTCCAACAAGGGGAGTATACAGGGTCACAAGGGGAGTACACAGGGGCACATGGGGAGTATACAGGGGCACATGGGGAGTATACAGGGGCACAAGAGAGTCTACAGGGGCACAAGAGTCTACAGGAGCACAAGGGGAGTACACAGGGGCACAAGGGGAGTATACACGGGCACATGGGGGTATACAGGGCACATGGGGAGTATACAGGGGCACAAGGGAGTATACAAGGGGCACATGGGGAGTATACACAGGGCACATGGGAGTCTACAGGAGCACAAAGGGGAGTACACAGGGCACAAGGGGAGTATACAGGGGCACAAGGGGTATACAGGGGCACATGGGGAGTATACAGGGGCACAAGAGAGTATACAGGGGCACAAGGGGAGTACACAGGGGCACAAGGGGAGTACACAGGGGCACAAGGGGAGTATACACGGGCACAAAGGGAGTATACAGGGGCACAAGGGGAGTATACAGGGCACATGGAGGAAGGTCATGCACAACATCTGTACATACGTCTCTGACAGGTGTTCCCCACCCAGCCTTCTTGACAGTCACAGGCAAACGTGTTCCCCACGTCTGCGCAGCTTCCTCCGTTGGAGCAGGTGGTGTCGTCACAGTGGCTGTCAGCTGGAAACATGAAACATCTCACTGAACATCAGGCTCTGACACTGACATCACAACACTTAGACGCATGGGGAATGTGTCAAGTAAGTCAGGATCAGTGCTTGAGGTCAGGTTTTACACAGTGGAGAAAGAAAGTAGCAATGCCTGCTTGTGGGGGAGAACACGAAGTGATCAAGGTCAGAACTAGTCTGGCAACTACAGGGCAGGCATGTTGGAGTTTCATCACAGAGTTAGGATAATCTCCAGGAAGATTCCTGATAAAGGAAATCATGCTGTTACTGCTGCTCCGGTTGTCATGTCAACAGCTGAAACTCTGCATAGCTACGGAAAAAATATTCCATGAAGCTCTCATAAATTTCTCTAAATTCTCCTCAACCCCGAATAAAATTGGAAAGTACAAATCTGGCTGAGGAACTTTAATACATTTGGATTGAAATATTAAAAACATCTTCCTTTTCATAATACTTCACAGTTGGAGAATGTGTGATGTAGTAGCAAGGCTTGAAAGTATATCTGGTTACAAAATGGCCAGTTGTAAATACTCTTGTAAACATATATAATATGTTTGTTAGTATGTGGTTTTATGACCAAATCCACCAATTTTACACCTTTACTACAGTGGTCTTGACTAAACAATCCACTGATTACTATTGTAACTAACAATTCAAGACATAGGGGTAGACAACTGACAAAGTCACCAGCACTGGCCCTTCGTTCTCATACCACAACAAGCAGACATTGCTGGGGACCTATCCTGAATCCAGACAGGGACTCCAAGTGATAAGCTGACCCATCAAAGTGACGGTAATAAGAATGTAACTGACTTACTGAGAGTACATGTCTTCCCCTTCCATCCGTTGACACACTGGCACACAAACTGGCCGAAGTCATCCACACAGGATCCACCATTACGACAAGGGTTGGTCTCGCAGTCATTGCGGTCTGTGGAGGCAAAGCATGGGTACAATCAACTGTCAGGTCCTCCTCACAGGGTGAGTGGGTGGGTGATGCTGTCATCAGTGAGCGAAATAGCCACTGGTTTGCTAGCCCGTGGCCAGTAAAAATCCAGTCGGGCCAGTAAATTTCCACAGTCACTGTCCTGATTGGATACTGAATTTTCATGGGGTGGTAGTTTGACTGCCTAGCAACATTTGGAAACTATTTCGCACACTTGCTGTCATGTTTATCATTATTCAAAATAAGATGTTACCACTAGTGAAGCAACATTAGCTGTCTGTCTGTGGTTGAACCTGGACTGGACAAACCAGTCAGCATTAGCATCAGTTCACATCATCTTGGACAGTGACAAGCTAGCAGCCTGTCATTACACAAACCATTTCTCTACTTACTTCTCCCCACTGTATAACAAATGTCACGATAATAGCAAGCCAATCCCCCTGTGGAAGAATGCAAGCTCACTCACTGATGTTGCAGAGGGCACCCTCCCAGCCATCCATGCAGATGCACTGGTAGGAGTTGACGCCGTCAATGCAGGTGCCGTTGTTCTGACATGGGTTGCTGGCACAATCATCTATATCTGAAACATTGAATTCCATCTGTGTCATGGCACAACATAACAATATCCTCTGGCTGACAGAATAACACATGGACACATGGAAACAGCCAAGAAAGAAAGAAGAAAAACAGTTCTACATTGATGCTAAGGCCAGACCAATTTTATTTCTTGTTTTACAGATCCGACAGTCGTATTTTTTCAAGAATAAGAAAAAAAATAAAATTAATTTTCCCCGCTCAACAATATAATCCTAATTTTTTTATTTGCCAAAAATGTAAACTTACAAGAAAATAGTTTTAGATTGTTTTTTGCCTCATATACACTTTATAAATTGCCAAAAGTAAAATACTTTTAGTATTTAAAAGGACTATTCCTTTGACTGGTGATTTTTTTCCCTCCTGTCTTTAGGTTTTCTGAGGACAAAAATCCGCTAAACAAGAAATAAAATTGGTCTGGCCTAATAAACTTGTTCAATATGCACATGTTAACCATGACAAATTATGTAGTAAACCACGTAAAGAGGGTTCAGATCAAGTTTGGAGTGTTGAACAAACTTCAATGTATTACTGAAAAGAACTTAAAAATCAAAGTTTACAGACAACCATCAATTCAACAATTAGCAAAATAAAATGAAATGAATTAAAACAATGACAGAGACTTACTCTCGTGGCAGTAGGTTCCCGTGTACCCCGTCTCACACGCACATGAGAAGCGTCCGCTGGGTTGGCTGATGCAGATGCCGTGATGGCCACAGACGCTGGACGAGATGAGGCGGAACCCGCCCACCGACTCATTGGAGGGGATGGAGATGGTGCAACTGTCGATCACTAGAGCAGACATAGCAACAGATGTACAGACAGTCCTGAACAAGTTATTATGATTATTAGGAGCGTAAACCTTGTATATACACTACTCCCACTTTGCTATCAAGTCATGGATTCAACAGAAAACTATGATGTGGGGTCAAATTTGGTTTAAATATCTAAGCCTATTGTAAGCATGGATCCAAGTTTTCAGTTTGTATTTCATTTGGTGGATCCCATACCTGCTATTGACAGGTGTTGTGTATTTATCAATGACCCGTGCCATGATTTGCAAAATGGTTGACTGGTGCCATGAAAACCATGGTTACTCATGTATCAAGGGCATGTTTTCCTAAAGATGTGTTACCATATAATTATTTATCCAGTTTTAAATGTATACAATTTCAAATTATAAATCTACAGTTAAGTAAAGTTGTGAATTTTTGTGATCCTTAGCAAAGTGTGAGTAGCATATTTCAAGATCAGTGGAGTATACTCAGGCCTACCTAACTACCTGTTTTAATTATCTGCATCCCTAAAGAAACAAACAGAAACAAACTATAGCTCCCTCACGGAGCGATCATGTATTGTGCATTAGATGGTGCTGAGTGAGCCAAGGAAGGAATATATTGAGATATTATACAAAAGAACATGATACATGGGTCATACATATAACACAGTTACCTTCACAGGACTGTTCTGCACATGTAGATCGCATCTGGGAGCAGTCCTTGCCGTCAAACCCGTCCCGACAGTGGCAGTAGAAGTCGCCCTGTATGTTGAAACAGCTGGACCCGTGCTTGCAGGGGTTGGGGTTGCAGGGGTCCATGTCAATCTGCAGCACAATACAACAATGTAAATATTCATACAATACACTCGGGCCTCTGCCATAACATTAACCCAATACACGAATGCATCACATGACCTGAATGCATCACATGACCTGTATGCATAACATGACCTGTATGCATAAAATGACCTGAATGCATCACATGACCTGTATGCATAACATGACCTGAATGCATCACATGACCTGAATGCATCACGTGTCCTGTATGCTTCACATGACCTGTATGCTTCACATAACCTGTATGCATCACAAGAGCTGTATGCATCACATGACCTGAAGGCATCACATGACCTGAATGCATCACATGACCTGTATGCATCAAATGACCTGAATGTATCACATGACCTGAATGCATCACATGACCTGAATGCATCAAATGACCTGAATGCATCACATGACCTGTATGCATAACATGACCTGAATGCATCACATGACCTGAATGCATCACATGACCTGTATGCATCACATGACCTGTATGCTTCACATGACCTGTACACATCACATGACTTACCTCACAGTTGACCCCTGTGTAGCCATCATGGCAGTCGCAGGAGTAGGCAGCCAGCTGGTTGCGACATGTAGCACCATTCTGACAGGGGTTACTCGCACACTCGTTGATCTCAATCTGGCACCGAGCCCCAGTGTATCCTGGGATACACGCACAGTAGTGGCCATTCACCAAGTCCTGAAACATACACCATGAATATCAAGGATCTATTGAGTAGAATCATCTGTGAAATAAGACATCTGGAAAACTGTCTGCCACAAACACACATAGGGGTTAAAGGAAAATATAATTTAGGGTCATTGTTAGATCATAACTGTAGCTGAAAAAACAAACACATGCAAAATCCATGACAACCCCTAGAGCATCAAATGGTTAGTCCCTGACCTAAAGAAGATCGTTTGAAGCAAAGCATTAAGACAACTCTTCACTGGAACTATCACTGGTAGCACCTACAGCTAAGATTTATTTTTCCAGAGAAGAAACAACATGTTTTTATCATATGATACACACATTGTCCAAATCATATTACAATGTTGTAGAAAACAGGGGTTTGTTTTAAGAAATAGAAGGGAGATAACTCTTGGAGGCTTGTGACTCCTCCCTCTGGTTCTGTGTAACACTCACCACACAGGATGCACCATTTAGACACTGGACAGCAGCACAATCATCCACATCTGGGGACCACAAGAACACAATGTGATTAACATCATGCATTTATTGTACAATCAGGGTTTTTTATGTTCTAAGCTATTTTTGGGTTAAGCAAATTAATATTTCTTAGTACTATCAAACTAAATTACATACACAAGTCAGCATCTTATTATGTCCTTTTTTCTACTAAAAAATCGATCTTTGGTAAATAATTTTACATGACTATATGAATAAACACGAACTAAATAATCCATTTGTAATTATAAAAATATGTTGGACTGTATTGCATGACATGCAGTTTTTAGTCAGAAAGATTGTGAAGACAGTTCAATAAACAATAATTCAGAGATAATTTTAACTTATAAATTAAGTAATACACTTGTATTCAGTCTTTTTAATTGGTATCAATATTCTGTTTGACTGGCATTTTAGAAGTTGCCCAGTAAAATAAGAGCAAGATGCATTTTGGTTGACTTCTGTCTTCTAGTATGGTTGACAAGGGTAAAAGGATCTATACCAAAATATGGCATCATAACAGAATAAAAGAGTTGTCATCCATAAAGCATGTTGCCTTATTGAACTTTTCTATTCCTTGAACATTTAAACAAGTGATATGTCAAAAGTATTTACAATTCAGTGTAATTGTAAAAAATTCTTTATTTGACAAATATGATTCCTGGTAATCTCCAGGAACTCACTTTGATCGCATCTCTTCCCTGTCCAGCCTGGCTGGCAATCACACGTGTAGCCTCCAACCAGGTTGTGACATGCGTATGCGTTGACACAGGGACTGCCGCTACACTCGTCAGCATCCAGCTGACAGTGGGGGCCTTGCCAGCCCTCGGGGCACTCGCACTCGTAGCTGTTGTCTTGGTCGACACAGGTACCGTTGTGGAGACAGGGGTTGGATTCACACTCGTTAACATCTGCACAAATACAGCAAACATACTGGTAATTACTCTCCTTGAATAGATAATGAATAAATAATGAGATGAGAAATAATTTGACTAGAAAAAGTCCTGAGGATAGTGATGGGGGAAAGCTTTAACTATCATCCTGGTTCATGGAATGAATAAACACGTGACTGGAATGACCTTGAAATCAAGGCTGAATATTGAAATCACCTTCCCAGTGTAGGTTTGCTCTGCGTATATTTATTAAACAGTTTACCCGCAATACTGGATTTGTTTTAATTATTTCAAGTGACTACATAAGATCGACAACTGCATCAAAGGTTACATATTGGCCACTAACATTTTACCTAAAAAATCACAATAGATATTTTTTAAACTTTTCTTTCATTTCAGTTTTTGAGATTTAAACTTTTATCTTGCTTTTAAAAATTGTCTATAGTTGATATTTATTTCTTTTACTTGATTTCCTAAACATTTGAAAATGTGAAACAAAATTAAAACCTGTAAGTAGTGGAATTCCCTTCAAAGGTAAAGAAAGAAACACTTCAAAGACGCATACTGGGGCAAGGAAAGCATGTGTAACATTTCGACATTTTTTACCTGTGCTGTACTGAAAAGGATGCAGCTGTTTTGAAAGTGAAAATAGCAATATGCAAGTTAATAATAAACTTCTAAATGAATCACATTTAAAACTGACGGGTTTGTAATTTACAGAGGATAGCAGCTATTTCTAACTGCTTTGGGACAATAAACACAGTTTCTCATGTTTCAGGAGACCGGGAATAACTTCATTACTTTTCCCAGTTTCAGGAGACCGGGAATAACGTCAGTATTTCTCCGTGTTTCAGGTGACCGGGAATAACGTCAGTATTTTCTATGTTTCAGGAGACACAGCAATAACTACAGTATTTCTCTATGTTTCAGGAGACCAGCAATAACTACAGTATTTCTCTATGTTTCAGGAGACAGGCAATAACTACAGTATTTCTCTATGTTTCAGGAGACGGGCAATAACTTCAGTATTTCTCTATGTTTCAGGAGACAGAGGAATACGTTCTACATATACTTACTGATGTCACACTTGGTGCCGGTCCAGCCGGGGGGACAGTTGCAGACAAATCCGGTGTGTATCTCCACACACTTGCCCCCGTTCACACATGGTGACGATGTGCATGCATGGTCAGCTGGTGGGGGATAAATAAACACAAACATGGATGGTACTGCTGATAAATAGACACAAACATGGATGGTACTGCTGATAAAGAGGAAAACAATGCAACCGTCTCAGATCTACAGCAATGAAGTCCGACACGATTCCAGGCAGGAATTACACATTCCTCTAATCTTAAATTTGCCTGGTGCTGACCATCTGATCTACATTACTGCTTTATATGCCAGACCTGTATAGAAGCAGTGGACAATTTAAACCGGGACTGAAGAAAGTGTTTGCAACTGCTTCCAAAACAGAGGCAGCTACTTTACCACAAAATCTTAACAAACAATGTACCACGTATAATGCAGTTGTGATCCACAATAACCTCAAAGGTGAACCTGACCTTCAATAGTGAGTGAGTTCAGTGTTATGCCACAGTCAGCAATATTCACGCTATGTGGCGGCGGTCTGTAAATAATCAAGTCTGGACTAGACAATCCAGTGATCAACGGCATGAGCATCGATCTACGGAATTGGGATACGATGACATGTGTCAACCACGTCAGCGAACCTGACTCCCGATCCCATTAGTTGCCTCTTACCACAAGCATGGGTTACTGAAGATCAATCCTAACCCGGATCTTCACGGGTTTGACCTTCAATAGACATACCACTAAACAACTGAGTGGTAGGACTGACTGACTGACTGACTGAGTTTGGTTTTACGCCGCTTTTAGCAATATTCCAGCAACATCACGGCGGATGACACCAGAAATAGGCTTCACACATTGTACCCATGTGGGGATTCGAACCCGGGTCTTCGGCGTGACGAGCCAACGCTTTAACCATTAGGCTACCCCACCGCCCCCCTGAGTGGTAGGAAGAGCAAAGGGGTGACCAAACAACAACGAAATAATGTTGTTTTCAAAAACCTGTATGCTCACCTGGACCTTGACTTCATTTCACCTAACCATTCTCCATTCTCAAGATGGTAATTACACTTGTCAGTGATAGATTCAATGCTCATTTTCGGCAAAGTGCAACTCCAAAAGTCTTATCATATCTAAAAAAACGTGTCCTTTGCCCTTCAGATAACAAAAGAATCCGAATTTCATATGGAATAAGGACATCGAATGTACGTAATCTTTACACAACATTCATAAAAATTTCCTGTCGAAGTATACACGTCTTGAAACTGAAAACGATCTAACCAGGTTTTGCAAAAGCCTGAAAGATGACTTTGATCTTGACCTTTGAATAATCTATAAAAAAGAGTTTATCAACATTCATGACAAATGCTGGAATTGGTTTTGAGAAACTGTATCCTCAAACTTTCTTTTGACCTTATGGCCTTGACTTTGACACCGACATGTGCCAAAATAATTCAGCAGGACTGCTTCCAAGACGCCAACAGAAGAATATCTATTTGCAATAATCTTTGTGTAACCATGGTCCGGTCAAATTAATATAAAACCCACGGCAGTAGGACCTGACAAGCACCTACCCCTGATGGCCACTAGGTTTGTGCCTACCTATTTCACAATTCCTCCCTGAGAATCCTTTGGGACAGGTACACGCGTACTCATCAGGGTTGATGTTCCGACAGAGGCCGCCATTGCGACAAGGATGATGGCGGCCACAGAAGTTGAGATCTGAAAATAGAGTCAAGATAATCAAACCTGTCCCGAATTACAAGGGTTCTTGGAGAAGCTGGAACAATACATTAGGTTTCAGTTTGTATTGATACATTTTCAAAACTATTGGCTCAGTAACAGAAATAACACGAAATAGTGCCTTAAAAGAATTGTAACTTCGGGAAATAGTAAGATTATGTAATACACATTTCAATGGTTACCTACATTTCCCATACAAAGAAAGATATTTTATTGCCCACAGAACACCTAGAAAATTCTTTTTCCCCAAGCTGAAAACGTCCTAAATCAGGTCATAAGCCAAAAAGATTTTTTATAGACAATCAAAAATTAAGAAAATTCCTTTAATGAACATATGACCCCAGAGAATGTTCCACTTTCAGCAGAACCCATAAGAACATAACATTTCTTGCTAGGATGTTCATCTAACTTAGTGGAGTTTCTGATTCTAAAAATGGCCCAACTCCGAGACTAAAAAAAGAGCGCCTCACACTCTGCAAGATACAGTCATGCATATAGATGAGCACCGCCGTGACCAGTGAGGTATATCATTAATGCAGTGCTTCCACTATAAACAGTCGTGCACGTGCTGGCTGTTGTGTGATGCACCCCCGGCAGTAGAGCTCAGTTTGCTCAGGCTGACACAACTTAAACCTGACAACAATTAACAGCCTCGTTCCCGTCTCAAGTCACATCAAATATTTACCGACTTTGAATTAAATTGTAAATATTTCAACCCGTCCATCAGTCACAGGCCTCATAAATCAAAGACAAATCAGCCGGATTTGTTTGAGAAATAAACAGGGCATGAAATTTGGCCATGAATAAAAAATTAAAGAATTTCTTCCTAAGAAAAGACCTCACACGTCACAGCAAGTAACGGTCACACGAACGGACGTGGTTGATACGCGTTGTAGAGAGGAATATTTCCTATTGTTGTGTGTTGGAGTGTTGCTACGTTGTGTGCGTGCGTGCGTGCGTGCGTGAGCGGTGTTATGTGCCTTCAATGTGTATCTGCGTGTAAGCGTTTAAGTGCGCGCGGCAGTTTAGTACCCGTATGTTGAATGTGTGTTTTGTAGACTGTCTGCATTTAGACAGGGACCAATTTCCAGAGCCATGGCACTACAGATCCCAGACTGTCCAGATTGCCAAGACCATGAGGTAAGACTGAAACACGTACCTTTGTTACACAGAATGCCTCCCCAGTTGAGATGACACACGCATTGCCATGGAGACCCGTTACAAGAACCGTGCTTACACCCCGGGTAGGGTATACACTGATCACAGAGATCGCCTTGCCAGCCGTAGGCGCACCTGCAATACAACGTGCATGCGTCACACATCAACACTGTATAAACTGGGTTACACACTTAAATGTTATCCAACAAAAAACAACAACACTAATCATTTATATTGACAATTAAATATGTATGAATAAATACAAATAAGCGGATGTTGTACGAACAAGCGCAGGTTCCGTGTGTGGATATTGCTTGCCATTCTTTAAACAAATAAGATTCCAAGAATGTGAGCACGGGTTTACGTCCAAACAATCTACCCCATGCCACAAAGCGATCTTCGCGCTACGACTGTCGTAAGTCTAGCTTAAAACTGGAGAGTTATGATCGTGTCCGTGATGCGACAACAGGAACCGGTGGGTTCATCGTACCCCGACAGCGTGACATCGTACCCCGACAGCGTGACATCGTACAGCGTGACATCGTACCCCGACAGCGTGACATCGTACCCCGGCGGCGTGACCTCGTGCCCCCTTCCCTCACACCCGGCGACTCCATGGAGGTGCGCGATGTGGACATTCATTATAGATATTTTGGACATAGACATGTACACCATGTACCGCGTTATGCTGTATCAACACATAACCTGGTAATGTCTGGAATGTACTGCTTCAACTGCAATACTGGAATATGTGCGCAAACATACATGTCATATTACCGCTTAAAATAACCAACAAGTTTATGGCGGCATTTTTGCAGTGAGCACGGCTCAAGTTTAACACAAAATCCACTAACTCAGTGATAATGTCGGACGAATTGGAAACGTTTCAGAAGTCAGCTGAAGAGAAGTTTAAGAATGGATTATTTTTTCTACTGTTTTAACGCCGCACTTAGAGATACTGCAGCTCTATGACGCCTCCAAACAGTCGAATCTGTACCACAATGTAGCACAGTTTGTGCTACCATGAGCATCGACCTGCGAAATTGAGATCGATGACATCAACCACACGATCGCCTCTACACGCATGGGCTGCTGAAGACCAACTCTGTCCCGGATGGTGGGATTCATTGTTTAAGTCCGAGTGACTCATGTGCAACAGAAGAGGGAGAATTTGGACTAATGTCCGGTTTCGACAAACCATCGATTCACTTTGTCGTTTATGACAAGTTGTATTTTCCTGAAAAAGAATTGTACTGCAATATATCCTGAAACTGAGTGGGTTCAGTTAACGCCGCACTCAGCAATATTCCAGCAATATGGCGGCGGTCTGTAAAAATTCGAGTCTGGACCAGACAATTCAGTCATCAACAGCATGAGCATCGATCTACGCAATTGGGAACCGATGACATGTGTCAACCAAGCCAGCGAGCCTGACCACCCGATCCCGTTAGTCGCCTCTTACGACAAGCATGGGTGGCTGAAGATCAATTCTAACCCGGATCCTCACGGGTTATCCTGAAACTGAACTATACTACAATATAACCGGAAACTGAACTATACTGCAATATAACCGGAAACTGAACTATACTGCAATATAACCGGAAACTGAACTATACTGCAATATAACCGGAAACTGAACTATACTGCAATATAACCGGAAACTGAACTATACTGCAATATAACCGGAAACTGAACTATACTGCAATATAACCGGAAACTGAACTATACTGCAATATAACCGGAAACTGAACTATACTGCTGTATATCCCGCAGCTAAACCCTACAGTATAACCTGGGAACGGTTTGAATAGGACCTGAAAATGAACTTATATATTGACGTAATTTCAAATGGGATTTAACGCCCTGTTCAAGATCATAACACAAAATACAGCAATGTTTTAAAAGTCTTTTTTTTATGTGGCTGTCAGGGATCGAACCACGACCTTCCGGTCTCTGGGCAAACGCTCTGCCCACTAGACCACGGAGACGGCCACAATGAATAAATGATGTCTTATAATGTAAGGCAGGAAGTGTGGCCGTCATGAAAGACTCCCTCTATATCAGAGACTCCGTGACAAGTCTTTGAGGAGGTCGAGATAGAATTTCGATAATTACAAGGATAGAGTCTTTTTCTATTCACTTCGTTTTTCTACAATGAAAGGGACTTGAGATTTCTATATTGAAAACTTCAAAAAGTGACAACCGTTATAACTCATTGTGATAACCCACAGAATGCCGTGTGCCTCAATTGTCTGTATGTTTACTGGAGTACAAAATGTGGCCCAGCCCTGAAGAGTGACTGTACTATTAATCCTATAGGTCATCGGTATACAATGGGAACATCCCTCCCCGTCCACCCGATCTCGGTTCTCACGGGAAAGTCCGAGTCGTTGGTAGGCACACGCACGGTGTACACAACACCAGCGTTCCGGCACGCTTGTCAGTAGCCAGTGGTGACAGTAGAACTTAGCGTGAAGTACCAGATCACATTAGCTGTATTCATACGTAACATAATATTTCATAGCACTATTCAAGTCTGGAGTGACAGATTGCCAGTAGGAATCCCGGCCCGTCGCACTATCAGTGTGTGACGAGAACCGAGCTCTGTCTCATGGTTATTAGTTTACATACATAAATGATAGCATCACGTGGAGGGTGCTACATCCACGCACCTGCCTCACACACCTTCAGGTGCAAGGCTCTCCGTTTGTCTTGTCGCCTCACCAGTAGAAGAAAGACGGAGCCAAGTTGTGTATGAACCTGGTCTGGTGTGGATGCTCTTTCATCTGTCTTTACATACTCTTATTTACATCACCTTCCACGTTACGTCTGTAATCTATTTACGCGGAAGACGGTTAGAGACATGGTGTTTGGCGTTGTAATACCTTATTTTCTGCTTCCAGCTTAATGAGTGAGTGTGGGATTCACGCTTGTCTGAACATTATCTCAGAAAATTGACTGTGCGGTTGTAGGATAATCAAATTCAATACACATCTTTGGTCTTTTAGAATGTACTATTTTCCGAATCGAAGTGTTAGTTCGATAGTGACGGTCCAGCTGATTTGCGCCATCACCAAAACTCACCCAAGAGAGCGTGAGTGTTTATTGCCTAACGCTGCATCTTCCCTCGATCAGCGGGTGACAGCCAAGGTTTTATCAAGCAGGGGAAACCAGCATACAAAAATGTAATTGTCCGTAGGATTGAAATGGGCGTTAAACCTTACTCAAACCTTACTCACTCATTCACACAATCATTTCGTGACAAGAGAGAGAGAGTCAGTACCATATGATATCATTGTCACCCAGAAAGTAATCTGCGCTGTTGGTGAAATAAATACCACAGCGCCATCCATTCGTGTCATTGGTTCGAGTTTCTGTCCATCAGGCAGGGACACGCATGGCATACCCCCTTAGACACTTTGTAAGGTGTCTAAATATAGCTACATGTTAATTTTAATTTTGTGTGGCTGGAGGGAGTGAGTTTAGTTTTACGCCGCTTTTAGCAATATTTCAGCAATATCACAGCAGGGAACACCAGAAGTGGGCTTCACACATTGTGCCCATGTGGCGAATCGAACCCGGGTCTTCGGCGTACGAGCGAACACTTTAACCACTAGGCTACCCCACCACCCCTTGTGTGGCTAGAATGTGTACACCATGTTGTAGAAATGTTACACGGAAAGTCCACTGAACTGGTGGGAACGACATTGACTACTGGAGGTACTAGTGGGGGAGGTTCGTGTTGAAGCCTGGCATTGCCCGTAAAGCATGGCGACCAGTGGTTATTGTATCCATATCATCAAGTGAAGCGGAGGAGATCATTTAATGAGTGAGTGAGTCAATTGGATTTAACGGCGCAGTGAACATTTTTTCAATTATAGCATTGTCCGTGAGCCTTAAAGTAAGAGTTAGTGAGTGAGTTTTACGCCGCACTCAGCAGTATTACAGCTATATGGCGGTGGTCTGTAAATAATCGAGTCTGGGCCAGACAATTCAGTCATCAACAGCATGAGCATCGATCGGCGTAATTGGGAACCGATGACATGTGTCAACCAAGCCAGCGCGCCTGACCACCCGATCCCGTTAGTCGCCTCGTACGACAAGCATGGGTTACTGAAGGTTCATTCTAACCCGGACCTTCACGGGTCCTTAAAGTAAGAGATTTGTATTTATGTACGACTGTGGTAAAACCACGACCAGGTAGTGTCGACATCCGCATTGTATGCATAGACGAATCTAGGATCGGAAGTATACAGTGGATTCTATTAACCTAGGATTCCTCACAGATATGGGTTGTGTCCTACTATGCACTTCTGTGTGCTGGACCAACACACTTGATCCCATCCTTGAAGCAAGACAGTGCACCGGGTGCCAAGGTCTGTTTGCCAGAATTAGCCAGTCAGACTGGGCAAGTTCAGATTGACTTAGCTCTATGTAACTGGACTGGGCTGCTTTTGGATTCTATTTACCTGTTTAATATTGTACAAAGTATATATTGTTAAATAAAATAACAGTATTTCTGGGTCTAAATGTGAGTACAGGATTCCCGTAAACACGTGGGTGAACGAGGGTGAACGGGATTTAACCAGGTATTTGGATATTTATGCGGGTGGACATTGCGCGATCAGCAGCTATATCACAGCATTATTGAATTCAGACTAGATACACCTTCCCTTAACATCATGACAAGTGAGGCAAGCCATTAAACAGGATGACCCATGTAACCACCTTCACTCCAAACAGTTCTTACAGGAACCACGTCGTCTTTGTTGTTTGTGTGACTTCAGAAAAATTCTATCTGAATGACGGCTGTCTGTAAATAATCTTGGCCCGACAACCCTGAGCATTGATCTATGCGATTATATGTATGAACGAAACAACCGAGCCTGGCAACCAGATCCCGATTGTCGCCCCTTTCTAAAAGCACGGGTCGCTGAAAACGGAGACATGAACTACTTCGGGTCTGTTCTGTCATCTCCACTGGTAACTGAACCATTGGTCAAAGACTGAGTATGAACAAAGCAAATACTTTGGTGACTGGGTAAGGAGGATTGCAGGCATGGTTACAGGTTAAAAGTGGAGTCAATGTCCATCCAAGCATCCAACTTAGTCTTTCAAACAATAGAACCAGAAGGCAACAAACAACTAACTCAGTTCTAAAAAGTAATCGATGTTTTGAATTACAACACAACGTTAATTATCCTTAGAAAACATGAAACGTCATTTGAAGAGGCCCTGGGCCCAGGAAGTTTGGAAACAACAACCGGAAGTGACGCCATGCTGGGCCTACCTGCATTCTCCCGGTCTCTCGCAAGAACCGTGGACTGCGTGACATCCGGGTATGCAGATAGCTGGGAAGAAGAAAAAGAGTCTCATCAAACAATGTCTATTTCGCCGAAGGCAAAACATTTCCATTACAGCAAATTTAAGGTTTTTAGTTCCTCCAAGTACACAATCACTGCCTCTGACGCCTGCGTGTTATTTCACAGCATAAATACGTCTTACAAACGTCATCAAATATGGGGTTCATATTTCAAACATGTTAAACACTGCATTGTCAAAACACTAGTTGTTTGACATATAGTTCACTTGCGTTTGACATTACAAGACTGATATTAGCCCCATACTGTTAGACGCACGGTATCATTTAATAATTAATGATCCGTCGAGGAACCGCCAGGGGCTTGTGTTGTGCTCTTCCTGAACAAATTCTGATATGGCGAATCTTGAAACGCCTCTTGACAGACGAAAAACTGACTGACTTTATTGCAAGCATACCATTTACTATTTACTACTAATTTCTCGACCACACCTGTAATGTGTCTCGACCACACCTGTAATACAGTAGTTGCCATGGTTACCTGTTTCACATTCCTGTCCCATCCATCCAGTCATGCAGTTTTTGTCTCCGTTAGAGTCGCACTTGTAATGTCCGAACATGTCGTTGTGGGGCCTACAGAATTTGGTGCACGTGGTGTTGTAGTAGTGGGTGTCGCACACGACCCGGATGCGGAAGGTGAGTCGTGCAGTGGCGCCGTTGTGGGTGATGGTGTGCCAGGCCTGGCCCGGGAGAATGATCCCCTTGTGAGATGCGCGTTCAATGAGAGAGGCCCCGTTATCTGGAGGAGAAAGTGTGGCATTAGGCATGTGGGACTATTTGTTTTATCGGCATCCAGTCTGCCATGAAAAATACATTTTGTTATGTATAAACAAAGCAAGTGAAAATTGTGTGCGCAGCTTTACATGCATATCATCGTAATATACGAGTGCATTTAAGCAACATTCCAGTTATATACCCGCAAACCTACGAATAGTCACATGAATATAATTTACTAAAGTTCGGAATCGAACCCCGCTCCTCCGTGTGACGACTTCTTAACCTATGTGCCACACCAGTGACAAGAGCATCAACATAACGATCGTAACCTTTACGTTCACAGCGATTCCATTTTCTCCTGTACACGTGTATCGTAAGGAGGTCAGTTTTTGGAAACTACTACATTGTACGTGTATGAGAAGGGACCCAGTTTGTATAGTACCCTCCTATCCACATCTGTACATTATACCCGACTGTGTACGTGTATAAGACGGGATGACTTTTATTTCAATGCTGTGTTCTTTACGCGCCTAGGAAAGGGATCCAGTTGAAACAAACCCTACGGGTATCAGATATGTGATCCTGGTCCAGGCGGACAGTATTCCCAATCTGTCAAGCATGTCTGTCTCCTCAAGCGTCAGGTATCACAAACATGATATCATCCTGCATCAGATAGTACGGCAGTCAGGTTTCAATGTCCAGTCCACCTGTCGTATCGCAGCTTGTCAAGCATGTTGGCCGGCCAAGCATCAGATGATGTCCCTTGTCCCGACCCTGGCAGCGAGATCCGCCAAGCCGACCGCGTGCCTTGCCTCAGGTGGCCATGTCACAATCAAGGCTCCTCTACAGCTCCTTGCAGCTCGTTACAGGATGATGGAGAAGCTACCCCGAGGACCTGGCCCAGGCACGCCATGCACACTGGATATAATCACATGATGGAAACAATTGTTTCATCTTGTATTTGAAATTGAATAATTAGAGTGTAATTGTAGCCTGTTGTTGAGGAATGTCACTTGATTGCCCGTCACCCGGGGCCGGTGTATGGTCATAATGCGTTACATAGAAGCAGAGATATCAACTTGTGATCAACACAGTGACGTGTACAATTCGCTACTGTACCCTACAGTCTTGGTTGAAGGCTAATGCCAGTGAAGTAAATGGTATGTTTGCACAAATAAAGGACAAGTGAGACATCCCTGTACAGACGCGGGGAGACTTCCAGAAATGGTACATAAAGCAACACACACCCATTGTTACTGTAATTACAATAGCTCAGATGTCTTGATCCCTAACTTCATTGACGCAGGGCCATAGTTGGTTCAACCATATGTTCACATAGCGTGTTGATTGTTGTATGTGGTATGTTGATGTATGTGGTGAGTGGATGGTTGTATACTGTATGAGGTTAGTTGATGGTTGTGGGTGGCGAGTTGATGGTTGTGGGTGGCGAGTTGATGGTTGTGGGTGGCGAGTTGATGGTTGTATGAGGGGAGTTGCACCGTGTGTGAAGGAAGCTCCATATGTGACATCAGCTCCGTCTGTGACATCAGCTCCGTCTGTGACACCACCTCCGTGTGTGACATCAGCTCCGTGTTTGAGGGCAGCTTCGCGTGTGAGTGAGTTTGGTTTTACGTCGCTTTGAGCAATATTCCAGCAATATCACGACGGGGGACACCAGAAATGGGCTTCACACATTGTACCCATGTGGGGAATCGAACCCGGGTCTTCGGCGTGACAGGCGAACGCTTTAACCACTATAGGCTACCCCACCGCCCCCAGCTTCGCGTGCTATTGCAGGTCGGTGTGTGACGGAAGCAAAGAGCGTGACAGAAGCATAGCGTGTGACAGAAGCATAGAGTGTGACAGAGGCAAAGAGTGTGACAGAAGCATAGAGTGACTGCAGGTCCGTGTGTGACAGTATCTCAATGTGTGAAGGCAGCTCCACGTGTGAGGGAAGATATTTGTGTGACAGCAGCTCCTTTAGTGAGAGAACCTCCGTGCGGATGAAGTTTTGAACAAGACGAGGTCAGATTGTGTGGTGTGAACAGCTGAGTGGCAGAGGAATCAACGATTGTCAGCATATCCTTGTGTCAGGGGCACCGCGCGCTTCCTCTTTCTTATAAATCTTTGATTTGTGGTTCTGGCAGCAGGACGAGGTCAGCCTGCCTGGTCACCTAGTTCTAATCGAGTTGGAAATAGATTCCGCTGTTTAGTTTACAGATAGCTATTCGTTTCACAAGGGTTCTATCCAGGGCGCATGCTTCATGCACATTGCAGGGAAAAAGCTATACAAACATTCAGTATAATTTGCTTATTGACGTTCCGGTAGCCTGAAAGAACACATGATCTACTTGAGCGGATACATCGAGGAAGGTAGAAGCAGCGCTGACCTATGTGTGCGGGTAGATGGGCGACACTGGGACTATACCAAGACGTTGCAGCGTTCCCTGTAGTCGTCCGTTATCGCCGCACACGCTACAGAGTCTATAGGGTAAACACAAGCTCCATCGTGTAATGTTCTCAACTCGATGAGCACCAGAAAAATACGCACAAGGCGAAGGAAAGTGAAGCTGGTTGTTTGATGTGCGTAGAAATCAGCCCAGTCCTTGTGTTTTTCGCTCCCTCGCAGCACGTGCTGGCTCGATGCCAAACCCCATGGTTTAACAAGCCCCACAAACACGGGGGCTCTCTTATGACGGCACAAACTGAATGAACACCGACTGATGACTCTGCTGCGGACGTACCATTCTCAGATACAACCACCGCCAGTAATTCCTTAATCTCTCACAGACCTCTTCAATTAATATGTGCGCAAGTATAGTGGTGACCTACTTATATCACAGGCTCACAAATGGAAATGTATCGTTTCCATTGCAATGTTATCAGCAGCTCAGTGGGGAAATGGGTTAGAAGAGGCCATCAAGCAACCAACTAGAGGTCCCCAGCAATCAACTAGGTCCCCAGCAACTAACAATAGTTTCCAAGCAATAGGTCCCAAGCAACAACAAAATACTTCACCAGCAACAAGCAATAGGTCCCAAGAAAACAGGTCCCAAGCACAAACAATAGTTCTCAAACAGCAAACTAAGGGTCTCAAACAACAAACAATAGGTTCCAAGCAACAAACAATAGGTTCCAAGCAACAAACAATAAGTTTCAAGCAACAAACAATAGGTCCCTAGCAACAAACAATAGGTCCCTAGCAACAAACAATAGGTCCCTAGCAACAAACAATAGGTCCCTAGCAACATAGGTCCCTTGCAACAAACAATAGGTCCCTAGCAACAAACAACATCTGCAGCCCCTGTTGGGAACCCGGATTAGAATACCTCCCGTGCAACACACACCATTTGAAGTACAGGATGGGAGGGTAGTCTTCACCCAGTCATTGTAGTGGCCACGTTTGAATGAGATCTGGCGGAGTTGCCGTGGCAATTAGTCTGTTAAGAACATAAAGATGTAAAAATACGTGAACTTTGAAGCATCTGTGTCGGTATCTGCTAATGCTGATTATTATGAGCTGCTGGGATGCGGGATGGCGGCAACTCATTGACAAGTTGAGCTGATTTAGCTGTTGCTGTAGATTCTGTTAAGACGCCGAGGGGGGTCTCCCTCCCCTCCAGCCCGACCAGGGCTGCAGAGATAATGGCACTACAACCGCGTCATTGTCTTCATTACAGCCTCAAAGGTGAAGGATATTCATCGACCACAGAATTTTTCCGGTTATAATTAATTCAAAATTCCCTCATGCTGAGCTGAAATATTGCTTTTCTTTATATGTTCCGACAGATTGAACCTAGGATGGGCTGTTACGCCGGGCTCAGAACGAGGTGCCGGTGCTATTGGCACTTGATTCCTGGTGCTGGTGTTGTCGATGTAAATTTGTGGGAATCGACATACCGCGCTCCTCCAAGCTGTACGTAAGGAGACTGGAGCTGGTTCTAGAGGCGGTCAAGGGCTGTTGTGTCAAGCCGTCAACACGGTCAACAAACGCCGTCGTCGCAGACAAAACGCTTTTGTACCTTATGAGAGAGTGAGTTGGGTTACTGAACAAATGTAACTAACATGAAAGTAATGTACGGGACATAAACGCAGACAACATTGGTAAAAGGGTATTGAAATATAATCGAGGTGTGTGTGGAAAGGAAACTATCAGCGGATCCGGACGCAGCTAAAGGAAGCAAATCAAACAGCAAAATTCGTCAGCTTGGTCGGGGACAGCGTGAGTAAGTCTGGTTTTACGCCGCTTTTAATAATATTCCAGCAATACCCAGCGAGTAAGAGCAGGAACTGGCTTCACACATTGTACTCATTTAGGTATTCCAACACGAGCTTTGGTACGCATCGTGACGAGCGAAAGCTTTAACCACCAAGCTTCTCCCGACAGAGGACTATTGAGTGTATTTAGTAGGCCCTAAAAGCGCACACCACGACTGCAGTAATATCTAGCGTAGCATTGTGAAAGAGATGAGTTATAAGCTTAGTCTTAAACACCAAGAGACGGGGGTTTTATCGAGTGTAGTTGGGAGAGGGCTCCACACTGAAGATGTGCAAGATATTCTTGTCCAAAGGTCACGGAACTGACATTTGGAACAGAGAGATTTAGTTTATCCATGGGTCGAAGATGCCTGACTGGTGTCCACAATCCCCAGTGTTTGGGCTGGTGAGGTTCCACTGTACCTACCGTATAGATAGAACGTTGAACTTAAAGTACTGTCGGAAATGGAAAAAAACAAACGGTTTTTTTTCGCATTTATATCTACAATTTATGTCGTTAATATGTGAAATATATGTAAAACTAAGTTCGGCCTATACAGTCTCAGAGGTAGGGAGATATGAAACGTAAAAAGAGGACTTTACTGAGGAAAGATTAGTGCAGAAATGAGCAATGCGGGTTTTTTCTAAGTCCAAAGCAACTTATTTGGAACTGACCTTGGCTTTATGCAAATTAGTGTGCGACGATATTGTATTACAAAGGACACTTTTTAAAGTCCCATTTCGAAATTAGACTTAGCTTCATTATAAACGATAGCTGACGTAAAAAGTAATAACTTTAATACTGAAACTATGAAGGATGTAGCTACCATGGAGTCTCACTATCACAATAAAGAGAAACAGGTAGGAGGGGTCGTCTCAAAAGCAAAACCAGGACGTTTGTCGCAGACGGTGGTTGGGGTCGGGCAGGGAGATAGAGATATCAGCTAAGATAAGGTAATCCTTTAGGGGAATTAAACTGGGGAAGTAAACGGCATGTCTTAACAATTAACAAATAATATCCAGTCCTGTCAACCGTCGGGGGGTCAGGCCACCCATATATTTTGAGACATTTAATACGATGGCTGAATTATGCTTTTCTATGGGTATCATACTCTTTTACATATCTCAACATAAACTTTATGAAAGAAAGATACGTAAGATGTTAATCAATAGATGAGACATATTCAACACACATGAAAATGCATAAAATATCTTTGAGATATATCCTTAATATCCTTGTGCTTGTAGGCAGCACTTGCATTTCATGCCAGGTGAGTCGACGGTCGACGGGGTTCGAATCACTGTTTGGACAATAATTTTAAAAATAAAAATCTAGACTTTTGCAATCGTATATTGTTTTTATATGTTATGATTAACATATAGTTCAGATTTGAACGAGATCGGTGAAGAAATGAATATTTTAGAAAATTATACTGCTATACTCATTACATAAAACACACAAAGATGTGTTGGTGGACAGTGTCGGAGAGTCCGATCAGACAAGGATCAGCCTCCTCGTACTGGGACCCATAGATCTACACTGGCAGCTAGTGTCCCGATCTCATTGTTTCCCTGACAAATAGACATATCAGTATCTGGAACTGGTTTTAGAATATATATTTAACAAAATTTTGATAAAATTACATATCTGATCATTCCTGTTGTGTCGGTTTTGTGTTTCTTGGAGAGAGAAAAATCTCTATAAAAAGGGGATAGTATAAATGGTTAAACTGTCCTTAAACATATGATGGAAGTGAGTCCTGAGAATCAGTTCCTGAAGCTCAGGGAATTTACACTTGCTAAACTGCTTCATAATTGGGGATATTTTTCAAATCAGGCGAGCGTCCCACAAAGCAATCGTAGCGCTAAGGTGATCGTAACTCCCATACTTTAACATAGACTTGCGACAGTAGTAGCGCTAAGGTGATCGCAACTCCCATACTTTAACATAGACTTGCGACAGTCGTAGCGCTAAGGTGATCGTAACTCCCATACTTTAACATAGACTTGCGACAGTCGTAGTGCTAAGGTGATCGTAACTCCCATACTTTAACATAGACTTGCGACAGTCGTAGCGCTAAGGTGATCGTAACTCCCATACTTCAACACAGACTTGCGACAGTCGTAGGGCTTCGATCGCTTTGTGTTTACGAGGCCCAGGACTGGGACCGAATGTCCTAGCAGGTACCCTATGTCTCAACACCACCAGCGTCTCACACACCACCTACCTCGTTCAACGTTCCATGCCTCCACTATCAATGTGTATGATCTCTGAAACACAAAACGTGAAGTATAGTGATAGAAACATTTGAAAACCTTGGTTGCAGACATCATCGTGAGCCGTAACATGGCTAAGTAGTGGTCGACCGAATTAAGATGTCAATAATAAGTCTATTATACTTTCAACATATTTAAAGAGGATCATTTGTAAAGTCAACAGAATGAGTGAGTGAGTCTAGTGAGCACTCAATATTCCAGCTATATGGCGGCGGTCTATAAAAAATCGAGTCTGGACCAGACAATCAATGATCAACAGCATGAGCATCGTTCTACACAACTGGGAACCGATGACATGTGTCAACCAAGTCTGGGAGCCTGACCACCTGATCCCGTTAGTCGCATCTTACCACAAGCATGGTTTACTGAAGACCAATTCTAACCCGCGATCTTCACGGGTTACTATAAAGTCAAAAGAATATGGTTTTCAACAAGATAATACAACTGTAAAACCAGACTTTGGAGACACCATTTTAATATACTGAAAGATAAGAAGACGCAATCAGCGAGGGAACTTTACAACTCACCGGGGTGAGTGAGTGAGTGAGTGAGTGAACTTGGTTTAACACCGCTGCAAATTGCTGCGCCTGTACCCCGTAACCCTGACCATTACTAAACCCATATCGTGGCTTATCAGTTTGATATGGGAGGGAAGCCAAGAGCGATACAGGTCATAACTGTTTCGTGAAACCTATGGGGTAGGACATGGAACTAGGAGACCCAGCATCACTACCGGGTAAAAGCAGGATTCGAACAGATGACAAGACGATCCACAACATCCGTGTCGTGCTGTCAGGCCAGGAAATCCAACCTCGTCACACCACCGTCTACATGGATGTTAGCATCACTGATAACGGGTGGGCTCTCTCTCAGGTTCCATAGTTACAGGGAAATCGCCGAGTGTACACAAGAGTAGCTCGTATCTCCCACCACAGGGCCTTTTCCCACGGGGCAATTAATTCCTGATAAGGCCAGAGTCGTTTGTGTCTCGCATATATTTGTCAAATTATACATATTATTGAAAAATGTACGCCACCTTTTGTTTTTAATACAGCTTTTTGGTCAAAACCCGTTTGCAAAACACTAGATCCGCCTCGATAACATAGCCAATGAATCACATACATGTTTATCCAATACAATTGATAGACACTTTTTTCACATTACAATTTACCTACAAAAAATAGATCCCAAAGCAAAGCTTATTTAATATATTATCATTATGATCAATATCTAACACATCTCTAGTTACTTCGATGCATGTATTATGAATATATCAGAGAGGCTTTCCCGTCGGCAAGTCATTCTCGTCATATTTCTCTCATGTCAAACTTCACATATTTCATCTATTTTGCTCTCCGTAGTTCGCAATCCGTAGTTTGTCTTGACCTCTTAGAATACAAGCAACAGAACACGGCATGTCAAGTCCGATTCATTTTCCTTTCTCGACGCTGTATCCAAACGTTCCTTGTCGCTAAATCGGTCATTACACATGGGTGTCTGAGGAAATTAAACTTAGTACCTGTGATGGATGCAATGGGAAACCCCCACGCTAGATAATACCCCCATTTTGCGGCTACTTTACACAGACATAACGGAAAATCTCTATGTAGTTAACGCTTTATAAGCGTCTCTCCACTACCACGTCACAGCCCCGTCACGGGCCGAAACTGGGATTTCGACATGCATACGCTGGGGTAGTCTCTCGTACAGACCCTGAAGCAAATATATCCAAGAAAGCCCACGCAATACAATCACGTCTAGATGGCAGCTTCTGTGTAAATGTCTCACTCCTGTTTGATTATTTATATTTATATTAAAAATTGTTCAATAAAATATATTCATTTCAGATAACTAGTTGTTATGTCGAACGCTGGGGTTCTGGGATTACCAGGATGGTTTAGACAGTTAACAACAAGAAACACGAAGATGATGAAGAAGAGTGAGTGAGTGATTTTAGATTTACGCCGCCTTTAGCAATATTCCAGCAAAGTAACGAACGGGGGCACGAGAAATCGGTTTCAAACATAGTACCGGGTCGGGTCGGCGTGACGGCGAACGCTCTAACCACTAGGCTACCCCTCCGCCCAGATGCAGAGAAGATGATGAAGTAGAAGAACAACGCGCCCAATCCCTATAACATCCTGTCGTGTAACCATTCATTGCTGGGTAGACAGGAGCATATTTCTAACAAAGTCACTACAAATTAGCGCTCATTTATCAATTAACTTTATGAGAGATGTCTAAACTGTTGCTTATTAAGTTCTCAAAAGTAGACATGGTCAGACTGAATTGCGTCATTATAATAATGCGAGAAGAAAACAGACGCATTTTTCGCATCAATAAAATGCTCGCATTAATTTCATGATTTACAGTATGTACAAGCGGTACAGTGTGGGTCAGGTGGAAATCCCTAGACAGTCTCAAGAATGAAATTGTCACCCATCTAACAGCTGTCAACGGTCAACGTTGATTTGATGTCATCTCTTTTCTGACAGGTGCTCTAATTAACTAAAATAATAACCATCTGCCTGAACGAACAACGCCAGTAGACTTTTGTATTTTGTATTTAAATGATAAAACCGAACTGTAGTGCTGAGAAAGAACCAAACAACCACACTAGGTCATCATCCTAATACCCGATATAGGGCAAACATTACCCCAAACCCAACCCATCACAGCCGGGATTCGAACACACGATCATAGGTTTTCGACGCAAAGGGACGCAACTCTGCACAGCTAATTGCGATGCCAAGGACCACCGGGCCCCCATTACTGAAGCGCTCAATCCTCAGATACGGTCATTATTTCATCGGCTAGCTCAAAGCAGCAATTAAAGGCTTATTTACTGATCCAAGAAATGGGCTCTCTTTTGTTACAAGAAAATTTTAATTTTAGATAGCAATCGGACGCTCATCAGCATCATCGACTTCTCTATCGAACATCGCAACAGAGAGCCGTAAACGGAACTAGCATCCCTCTGCCCCCCTATCTCGGTGGGGCCGGCGTGCTAGGGGGTGCGTTCAGGTCATCCCGTCAGTGATTCCCCACATCCATCAACCCTGATTTATCAGCACGGAACATGCATCGAGGGTTAAACACAATCAATTCCGGCTCGTGGACAACAGCCTGCAAGTTTTCTCTCATAACATGCACAACGCAATTATTACCCACAAAAAGAGACAATTTCAGTAAAACCATAACTGTTATCGAAATGGTCCCATGTGTGTGTTTGTGAGAGCGTATGCACGAAGTTTACAATAACACACAATTATCATATCGGAGAAAGGTGATAGTCGTGAACTTGCGATTCGTTATCGGCCGGCGTTTCAACAGACCTGGAGATATTACACCTGCGAGCGTTTAAAGATTTTCTTATTTCTGGCAGTTTAGAGATGGCATTAAAAAGGTATGTTGAGTGAAGGGAACCGTACAACACTACAAAATCATTATTCATAACAGAACTAGACGGGCACGTGTATAAACAGTAGCACACACTCGCCTGCCAAATTATACTTCTCAGCTTATAAGGAACTGAAACATATTACTGTAAAATAGACCTCCTGGCTATACACAGTTATTGGGCATTACCTACCGCCCTCGCTGGGTCGGTCATACCTTTAGGGTTTATAGAATTGGTTTTAAGCAACGCAGCAGTACAGCAATTGTCCAGGTATATGACGTCAGTCTGTAAATAATTAAGTGCGGACCAGACAATCCAGTTTTGGAGATCACGAATGCGATCTGAGATATGATGACATGTATCAACCAAGTCAGCGAGTCTGACCATTCGATTACAGCCGTTTTCTTAACGAAATCATGGGGTTTCTGAAGACTAATTCCGAGCTGTTCTACACAGGGGCCTTCCATAAAACGGTCGAGAGGCAATTTGTGGTCGACGATTCCAGATTGAAACTGTTCCGCTTTGAAGAACAAATCTCCTGGCAACTGAATATATTCTTTACCCATGGCGAGTCGGGACACATGTTGGATGGCCCAAGCAAGGAACTGGCAGCTCGTGCCTGTCAGATATATCTAGATTCTAACGGGCAAGGGGTGAGGCGAGGTGAAATTGGGTTTTACGTCGTGCTTGAGAATATTTCGCTCATATGACGACGTGCATGCGTGTGTATGTGTATGTACGGCTGCTTGTACTAGCCCAGACTTAAGCTGGTTTTATAGTGCTAGCTCACTGAGACACCATGCCGCAGTGAAGCATGAATACCCCACTCAGACACATTATACTGACTCCGAGCCGACCAGTCCTTGTTGTACCCATTAATGCGCACCAGGCAGGGACCAACAAGTACCATTTTAACGTCTTTTGGTATGACGCGGTCGGGGATCGAACCCGCGACCTTCCGCTCTCCGGGCGGACGCTCTAACCACGGAGGCGGTCAACGGGCAAGGGAGTTAATTGCAATACACGTTACTTTAAAACGCAATTATGTTTTTTTCATGGAAGGCGGTGGAGGGTAAGTCGTCGAATGCATCGCAGTGATCGTGTTCCAATCCCGGTTTGCTCCGATTATGTTCCTCGGATTATGAGCACCATACCCTTGCTGGTTTCACCAAAGGGGGACAACTCTGTGTCCTACATCACTTGAGGGTGTTCTCCCATACACATTAGGCACATTGTGTTATGACTGGAATTACGTTGAAAACGGCGTTGAACCGTACTCTCACTGAAGAGTTTCCACAGAATGGAGGTTGCAAGGCTGTAACATTATTGTGATTATGTTACAAGATGTCAGCGTTATCTTCCTTTGGGAAATTAATACAAGTACATGATGCAAGCCCCCTGCTCTGTGAGCTCAATTATCAGTGCATATTTATCACGAGGTTGTGAAATGAAAAATATGGACTGAACTTTGATGTCATAACGAGAACACGTACCTGTTACATACCAAAGCACAAAATGAGAATGTACATCAAGAGACTACATCGACTAAGCTCGTCGTGCACAGCGTTAAATAAACAATCAGTGGTGCGAGTAC